ATATATATGGAATGTAAGATATATCATTCATCTTTACTCGACAATCTATTTAATGTTCACCTTTTTTGTCGACTTTTACTCTTTATTCGTCGGATTGTGTTGATATAAATGCTCATTTTATATATGCTTTAATTTTTCTTCTGATATCCGATTAATAACGCTTCGAAGATCAAAGCAATATACACCAACACACACACGCTGTTTGATTTCAAGTAGGATATACCTAATCAGTGCTGTGCTTTCATCTCATATATCCGAATTTCAACCATTACTAGAAATAATAAAGGTTTTTTGTATTTCCCAATGAATGAAAAACAAAATGATATTGTTGTTTTTACCGGCGTTTCGATACTTAATGCGAATAGCTTTATCAAAGTATTATTATTCCAGAATTCACAAAATCTCAGCTTATATATAACAACTTAATCGTCGTCCTCAGCATGGGGTCATTTTTGCGTTGTCAAACTGGCCATTTGGTAAAGATAACAAAACAAGGTGTAGGTTGTTAGACTTGATAAGTGTGTAAAATTATCAAAGCAGCACACAATGAAATCGTTTATCACATTCGTGTTGATTTTCACACTTGATGGAAGAGGGGGACTGTTGTAACCAGGTCAAATTCTGTATCAGTCCGTCAATCCCAAGCAGAAAATTTGGATTTCATGTGTTATGAAGTGCTTTCTTCTGATATTGGACGTTATTTGTGAATTCTGAAATTTTTGAAAATTATTTCAAAATTGTCAAAATCGATTTTGTAACCTGATTCTATAGCATGTAGATGATATATGGCTGATGATTTTTCAAGCTTTTCTAGTTCACTAACTGGATTTCTCCGTGATCGGACAGATGCTCTACGGTGTTCATTTCTTCTGATTTTGATTTCTCGAGATGTTTGTCCGATGTATATTGCATCACATTCCAAGCATTTTATTTTATGGACACAACTAGAGAGAGAATCTTTAGGGATTTGGTCTTTTATATGGACAAGGTTGCTTCTCAGTGTGTCTGATGTTTTGAAGAAAACTCTGATAGTGAGCCTATTGAGTGCTCTTCTGATATCGTCTAACGTCTCCGCTGTATATGGAATGACAGCTATTGAGGTCCATGTTTTCAGAATATGTTTTCGACCATACTTAACATCAATGTTGATTTTGTTGATGATGTTCTTTGGGTAGCTGTTTTTCTTGAGAGTTTCAGTAATGTTTGATATTCGTTCTTCTTTTTCTTTCTCATCCGTTATCAGAGAAATCATGATCTGGTTAACAATCTGGGTCTTTCAACTAGTCTGGTAGCTTACTGAACTAGTAATTCTAACTAGGCTTCAATAAAAGAGCACACAGCTGCATGTGTGTATAGCTTTGGAAAAAGCCTTCACAATCAGACGTAATATTTGTGTAACTTAGAAAAATAAAACGGAAAGAAATGTAAGTGATTCATGAAAACAGAATATTCTTTCAGATAACTTCTTCGTCAGATTCTGCAGTTATATTTTTTGTCCCTTTACGTTCGCAGTGGAAAATAGGCCGTCAAGCTAGGGCTTGGAAGTTTGGTAGTAGTGATATTTATTTATTTTTACAGGATGGGTTGCTAGCCTCATGTCCACCCGTCCCTCCTAACCTATCCTATTACTAGCTGGCGAGGTAAAGGATTGCATCGGAGTGTGTGAATAGACTCTTAACGGATTGCAGTTTGAAACATATGCAATAAATATAATACTAAATTGAATATCAATTTCAAAAGCAAATGACCAGGGATAACAATGACTATATGATTATGAATGCCCATCATTACTATCGACATTAAATTGTATTCAGTTCACGTATAAACTTCATATAACGAATAATAAAACCAAAACAAGGAGGAAAATAAGGCTGGTGGTCGCACTAAAATCATGAATTTGTAGAAGTCAGAATTTATTGAGTCGAATCCCGGTAGCTGAATGCTCTGCAAGCTTTACTTGTAAATAAAAAGTCCTGGACTCCAACTCCAGTGGATAAGCACTGCCGATGAGTCCCAAACTAGGATGAAACAGCTGTGCAATACTCCCTGATTCTCAATAGTTCTGTGGTTGATATCAATCCGTGGTGAAACTGGAAAAATCGGGTAGGAGATTACGTGTTGTTTCACTTTTTAAATGACTAACTAAGCATAAATTATGATAGTAAAATGTTTATTTGTCCAAGTGTAACACTAAATAAAGGATAGGAGGAATTCATACATACAAGACAAATGTGAAATACTTGAAATGTATAGCATAGTACGGTACTGTGAAATGACAAATTCCACAATAGGCCAGGGTGGCACACTAGTCGCTGGGCTTATGGTATTTCTCCAGGTTTTCAGTATATGCTAAACTTAAGTTTTGATATTTCAAAGTTTTACTAATTTTATTTTACTGCTATTTAATTTCTAATAAACTGCCCCAACGGTGTATTAAATGTTATTCTCTTCCGAAATTTGCGCAACCTCACGGCTGTAGTATTTCATTACTCTTTATTATTCGAAGCTGTCCACATTAGCTGAATTCAAGTGTATAAAAATTCTACTGTAGATTAATTATACAGAGATCTTTCGCTGTATGCAGCTGAAGAGGATCGATGAGATAAAATGCGTTATTCTACATCGCGGTATATTTTCGCCACTTGTAATGTATCTCATCAGAACTATCCTCATAGGCAGTAACTTGATATATATATATATATATACATAGGTTGGTCAGTTATTGCTTAGTGACCTACTGATGACGAAAAGACCAAATTTTAGGATACACTTGAAATGGCTACATATGAATTTACCGCTTGATTGATTTTGCAGTCAATCAGACAGTCTTCTTCCTTGGGTAAAATAAGAAGGTAAAAACCGTTTCTGTCGTAGTGAGAGACTATAGAACCTCACTGTCTCAACTGGGTTACAAAGTTTACATTGAAATATTGCGGAACTAGAAACCAATGCAAGGCTGTGAATTCATGACCTACAAAAGTATGTGAAATTCGGGTGATGAAAAATCGACATAACTCACTCGAAAAGCTTTCAGCGCATGTTAAAAGTAAAACTAAGAGAAGTGAGATAATTTTTACCCTTATTTTAAGAAAGACTGTATAAATAAGACTGAAGGTAACATGATTATGGCTTAAGCTGCATCAAGCTCCTTTAAGCGGTTATAGTCTATAGGTTATGAAAAAGATGTAGTAGCCTTTATGGAACGTAATTTAAAATTGTAATATCGTTACGAGTAGAAAAATATTCAGTTTAAAAGTGTTTTAAATCTCAACTTACATAAGAGTGTAGCAGACCAGATGGACTTCAGCTGTACAAATTATGAACTCACACAAGCTTGGTCACATTAATCTGTCTGATTATTTAACACATGATTTTACTCTACCACCAGTTAAAAGAGTATAAGGATTTAAGAGGTGTTGCAAGTTATGACCTTAATAATGAAGGGCACCACCTGCTGCAAAGAGTTCCAGAATATTATAGGATTATCATGATGGCTTTCCTAAAGAGTGATGATGGCATATTTCATCACCTTCTGTTTGATTCATTAGAAGATTGGATCTCCGCTGAGCAATACACTGAAAAATTTACTAAATATCCTAAATTCCAAGTCAGTAGGTTTCATTTGGAATCCAGACCTAACTGTAGAACTAAAATGAACGGTAATGTCTGCATATATATCCCCAACTACACTATACTGTCAATGATAATGTTATTTTAGAAACACTGGCTGAATATGAATTGAAAAGAGTCATTATCATTGCTCAGATAAAAGCAGTAGCGACTGTTCATCACAAAATGATATCAATACACTGAAAGATAACATAGTCAATGTAAGCTAGTCAGGAGCTATATTTGAACAACTATATGTTGCGCTTTTTCTTGTCAGATGTTGACAACATTTATGCTGGTTTCTTTCTCAAACATAACTCATTTTACAGGCCTTAAAACAAAATTCCGATGTATGTATGTATGTGTGTGGGTGTGTGCGTGATAAATTCAAAATCAATTATTTATCAAAAACTGGTCAAATAGATTCATAACCACTGATCCTTTTCACAGTAAATGACAAAGATTAACCACCTTAACATGAATACAACAGCACAAAAGAGATTCGCAAAACACGGGTTAATCTGATGCTTGCTGGTGACTTGCTACAGGATGGAGTTTCCTGGAGTTCAAGTGAGAAGTCGTGACCAAAGAGGTTCAATTAGGCGTCACGTGTGTGGATGGATGTCCCAACGACGACAGTGGTTGGGATCGCGCTAAATCACAAATTGGTTAGAAGTTAGAATTCATGAGCCATTGAATCAAGTTCCAGTGGCTGAATGGTATACGAGTTTGCCTTGTAACCGGAAGGTCCTGGGTTCGAATCCCAGTTGGTGCGTACTGCCGATGATTCCCAAACTAGGATGAAACAGCAGCTGTCCAGTACTCACTGGTTTTCAATGGTTCTCTAACTGATATCAATCCTTGATCAACTCGTAAGAACATAGAAATTAGTGTTTGACCAATATCATACAAATACACGTAGTTGGGCTAAAATTTGATTAATTTTGCTTCTAAATAATTATGAATACTAATGATATTTATTTTATTTTTATTTAAAAAAAGTTTTATTATAGCTTGATTCCACACAGTATCTTGGTTGAAGTATGTAATTTTCAGCATGTGATATCGGTAAGGCAAATTTAACAGGCTGACTATTGATATCAGGCGTGCGTCAGCCGGGGGTCGAACCCCTGCCCAGGTGTATGGTCAGCGAGCGTCCTAACCGCTGTGCCACCGATGCACTATCATGCCCCAGGTGTAACTGTTAGAATTCAAATAAGTGTGATCAGGAAATATGATAAGACTATAGTAACTTCAATAGTTTAACATATATTTGGATCATAACAAGAATTTTTAAGTATGATACAAATAAATTTCTAAAGGTCAAAATACAGAATAAAAATCGCTTTTTTAATTTATACTACTAAATACAGTGAAAAGTAGCCAATATCATTTCATAAAATGTTAGCGGTAACAAAATTTTTTAAGGTAATAATCACAATATACAAATAATTATCGAAAAAAATCACAGTTGGAAAAAAATGAGTATACGATACGGTGAGCTTGTTACTGTATTGAAATATATCGTTAGCATCAAAAATTTAACAGAAGAAAAATCCTGTTAGACTTTTTAGAATGATATCTGTGAATGCAAAATAACAAAGTTAGGATAAGCATAGGAAAATACTATGGCACCAATGAAAAGTATACATTGATTATCTGTGTTTGTTTGTCGGCATTTTCATCAGTAATTTCAATGAGTCTCTTTTACTCTAAACAAACGAGTACATAAAACGTTCACCATCTGGTGTTGATCGCAAAACGAAGTAGATTGTCAAAGCAATGATAATCACAAGAACAATTGCTGCGAGTACGATAAGCGCTATTGCAGCTGGACTTACTAAAAGATAAAATAAAAATAAAATTATTTTAGATTAGTTGATTTTACTATTACTAATATACATATTAATGCATGCAAATAAACATATGTCAGGTAACATGAATGATAAATAAGAAAGTTGTGGATTACTTCTCACATCAGAATCAATGTTGTGTCCATAAATTGCTAAAAGATATACAGAATATGTTGCATATTGACTTAGAACTTTTTAGAAGTTCAAATAAATTAACCTAACTTAGGATATTCGTGTTACTAGGTGAAGATCAGTGTATGAAGACTTACCGAACTTTTGTGAATATAGTGGTCCTAGTAGTGATTTCATCTCATAGAAACTTGTGAATAAACATCTCTGTGGTGAAGTTTCTCACCTGTGGATTTCATTACCTAGGGTTATAGTCTTCATGAAATCCCCGGCTCCTTTGAGTTTGCATATATGGCTTGCTAATGAGCGTGAATAAACACAAAGTCTAGATTCAGAGATTCCTGTCAATGGTCCCAAGTCACTTAACCTCAGTTTAAAAAGACACAGAGATGGAGATTCACCCATATGGATGACAGAATCGCAAGCTTGATTAGTTGAATGAAATGTAGTCACATAATGTCTACTTTGTTTTTGACAGTCTGATATATTTTGCTATGTGTATATTGATCGATATTCCATTATAACTCACAATATGCTTTGTCTGTCCATTAACTAAATAAACAATATATAACCTTTTTATCACATGACATTACAACCAGTCAGAATCCAATGATGGTAAGAAAAACTACTGTCTATCTTATGGGTTCATGTATCTTAGTCATTTTCTTATATACTCTGCATTGTACACCTTTACACACTCTTGTTCACACCTTTCGTACACTACGTACCCTTTTCACTCACACACTTGTGTGACAGTCAATTTCCCTTGTTGGAAATTACATGTATCATCGTGAACGTAGTGGCCTTCTGATTTTCCCCTTTTCGCGTCAGGACAATTAACTATTCAGCATAACATTTATTGGCAACGGAACCATAACATTGAATTCAGTCAATACCATTATTAACGGTTCATGATTTTCAACTTCTTTTAATTTACTACATTTTATCATCAGGGAGCATTTTGTACACATTACTGATGCCGTGTATCTTGAACTATCCTGATTACTCATCCATCGTTAAATATTCCCACAATTATAATCATCTTGATGAGTCCAGAGACTCAGTTGTTTTTTCAAAGATTGATTTCACTGACAATTACTACAACTTTCATGTTAAAGTCCCATGGCTACTGTCATCAGAAGTAAATATCATGTTAAGAAGTTCAACACGAAAAGGAAATATGACAAACTTTTCATAAAAAAAACATAGATCAACCTGATTATATTATTCCAATGTCAGTTGCAATATAAATTTTATCAAGGTTACATTTTATGAATCTAATTCGAATAATGTATTCCTACGGCATGTTATGGGAATATGGGAATTCACCAAATTATAACATCAATATTTTTTTTTTACTAAATTTATACCTTACAAATAATTTTATTTTGTGAATATGTAAAATATGCATGCGTTTATATACTTTATCCATTTCACCTTAATTTGACTAACTAATAACTGTCATGAATTGGCAGAAGTTAGAATCCACGGACCATTGAACCATCTCCCAGTGGCTTAATGGTCTACGAGCTCGCTAGCCTTGTAACCAGAAAACCCTGTGTTCGAACCCCTTTTTGTGGGTGAGTAGCACTGAAGAGTCCCAAACTAGGCTGAAGAAATAGCTGCAAAGTACTCCCAGGTTGGTTATCCAATGGTTCTCTAACTTATGTCAGCTCATGATGAAATATCACAACCAATCTCACTAATAACTGTCAAAATGAAATTAAAGTCATATTATTCAATGCTACTGCTCTTAATTAACTGAGACAATTATAGTTACTTTAATGAAAGCCAAAAAAATGATATCACAGTGAAATGAAGACTTACAAACACATTGTATTCCAGGTTGTTGTGGATTTAAATCTGTCCACATAGATTTACATAAACAATATGCTCCATCAGATGTTTCATAGCAATCAGAATGAGGCGAACATGTTTTTGACAGTGTGGCGCATGTTTGCTTTTGTAAAATTACTGAAAAATTTAAGAAAAAAAATATATAAGAAAGTCAAATTTGAAAGAGATACATGTACAGAAACATATATATATATATATATATATATATATATATATATATATATATATATATATATATATATATATATATATAAGTATATTTCGAAATAGCAGAAGTCTATAGAGAATAGTTCATTTGTGGAGTTATCATTTTGTACTAAACTTTAGACTAAACAGAAACGAAATTATAATCGAATTGTTTGTTGAATATTTACAACTGTTTACTTTACCAAATTCTTATTTTATTGATCGTACGCTGAGTATAGTTGAATGATTAGTCACATAAAGAAACACTTGTGTTTCGATTAGATCCTCTTCAAACTTCACATTAGTGTACAAACGCAAATTTTAATTACTGAGATGAAATGATCATGGTGTCCTTGTACTTTCGAATAACATTTCTATCAACATCTAAAATCAATTTCGAATTCAAGAGTTTGAATGATTACCATTTGTATTAGTCTCATTTCTGGTGAAATAATTACAAGTATGTAAGGACAGATAAAAACAATCCATAACTCAAATTTCTCTCATTTAATTGATAGTGGTCATAAAGTAGAGAAAACGAGATCCTTCAAAGTAATTCATCGTTTCCCACCGAATCTTTCTAATAGACTTCGTATTCATCTAGTACACACAGCTGAGGCGATAGGCATTCGAACTATTAAACCTAAACTATGCATTCAAAAGAAGTTCGTACAACCATTATCCATCCCTTGGCCTATTAAGACATAACCAATTGGTGACTTCTCCACCACCCCTTACTTATATTTTCAACTCCTTTCTTATCATCCCTTAATCTTATCACATCTTCATTAAAAACATGTTTCATTTACTTCCCTTACAATCTAGCATTACTTAATAGGTTCATTTGTTTTTACTAGCCTTTACTGACTACTTCCACCTGAACAATTGTTTGTTTAATCATGCTGTTTTTCATTATTTGTGTTATCACAGATTGCCTCATTTTTTCATCTCTATTATTGATAAGACCATTATTTTTATTACTATCGTCATTATTATCATTATCATTACTACTATTATGAATAACTGCACAATTTATATTCACCATCGTATTATCCTATAGACAAAACACCATGATTGGTTTATATTTGAATTTTTATTTGTAAACTTGTGTATATTAGGGTTAAGCCTGATGAGATCTGATTGAAACCACAATATTGGTCGCTTAAATGTGTTGTACTAAGTATTTAAGTGATTGAAGAATCCCTATATCCAACCTGTGTGATTTGATTTTCATTTTATTCAGATTATAAGCTTTGAACTGACTGTTATTATTGGTTGAATAAAGTTCTAAAGGTTAATGTTTTATTTGATTGTTGAAAACTTTCTAACTCTAGGAATTATTTTATTCTAACACTCCAGTTTACTTCACTGGATGAGGTGTCATTTACCACTGTTAGCTGACTAGTTTTCACCGTTGTAGCGCGTCTATTCGAACTGATTCATTGATACCTAAGTGTAGATACTCATGTTGAAGTTAATTTATTTCAAGGGTCATTTAAGCCTTTGTTTACGCCTTTCGTAGAGGACTCCCATCATGTTGAATATAAAACAAAGATGTATAGTTATAATGAAGAAGATTTATGGTTCAAGTGAATGATTTTGATGTAGTTGTGTTATCCAAGCTGGATAGTTGACTTGTGAAGCTTCCATTGCTTTACTAGATAACATCTTCACAGCATACTTCAATTTGAAGTGAATTTTGAAATTTCTCAACGAGTTTATAAGTCATCTCTCTTGGTGACTTTGGTCATGACTGGTTGTTTTTGTCTGTTTTCACAGACTCTAGTCTACTAGTATTCGTACTGATTATTTCCTTGACCTGAAGTTTGACTTATTTTGCATGAGATTTTTTATGGATTGGTAAATATTATCTATTTCATTGTGCCTGTTAATTGACGATTCACTGGAATACTAGGCATCCAAAAGTTTCTACTTAATGCCTGAATGTTGTCCCAGTCGAACTAATGTCCGTGGTTGTCTGAATGCAGTGATATGATGGAATGGTTATTATGTCTTTTGGTGGTTAGTTTATGTTCATGGATTCGAAGAGGAAGAGGTTGTTCAATTCGACCAATGCAATGTTTTTCTCATTCATTGTAATTTTCTTTGTGTGAAAAAGAGAAGACGTTCAGAGAACCTACTCTTTTCGGCGAATTCATTCACATAGCTGTACAGTCGAATTTATATATAATTATTTGTGTGTGTGTGTGTGTGTGTACATGAGGTTTGTCAAGGTTAGATGATTGATCAGGTAATACAAGAATGATCTAATATAGAAATAAGGTTAATCAGACAGCAACTGAAGTAAGATTGAGTTAGTAAGTTAGAAGACATTTGTAGATGATGTTGGTTTTATCTTTTTTTTCGTTGTTGAGTCTTTTGGTTGACAAAGAACTGAGTGAAGTGATTTTGTTGGTTTATTTGCAACATCAATCCCTAAAAGCTTTGAAGAGCTTTGCAAGAGGAAAATCTCATGCAAAATAAGTCGAACTTCAAGTCAAGGAAATAATCAGTACGAATACTAGTAGACTAGAGTCTGTGAAAACAGACAAAAACAACCAGTCATGACCAAAGTCACCAAGAGAGATGACTTATAAACTCGTTGAGAAATTTCAAAATTCACTTCAAATTGAAGTATGCTGTGAAGATGTTATCTAGTAAAGCAATGGAAGCTTCACAAGTCAACTATCCAGCTTGGAGAACACACCTGCATCAAAAAAAGATGTACTGTGTTAACCAAGAAACGCTAATTGTTGATATCCAATGTGGATCAAGTCCTCGTGGTATGAACCGAAATATATCATAGTGGCAGAGATGTATTCATTTATAATTTCTCAAAATTCTTCACAAATTCTGGCTTTCTTTTCTTTCTTTAATTTGCCTTCTTCTTTCCAAATATTTAGTTTCCATATCTTTCTTTGGTGGTTTCCATCTGACATGATTCTATTAAATGTCTCAATACAAAAGTCTTCATTTCCGAAGTAAGGTCAACGTCTCTTTGATCAGCATGATATTAGCGAATGTGCAGACAACACGATGAAACTGAATAACATCTCAGTGAGATAAGCTATATATGGAATATGATGAAACACTTGAAAAATCACCACGGAGACTGTGCTATTCATAGTGCATACGTCATCACTATATTCATGTCGATTTGTCAGACAAATTTTTTATGAATCATACTGGATAAGAATTCCTAATTTCTGATAGTCATTATTCTCACATTCATTGATTATCACGCCAATACTTTTTATCTAACCGAGTGAAGCTGATCAAAAATGAGTAATAATGATCGCTTTGTTTCAGAACGAGTCCGCATAATTACACAAAGATGTAGTATATGGTTGATGAGAATCCTCAGGAATACTTTGGGCTAGGTTTCGTGTTTATTGGGAAGCATCATAGTGGGGCTCATCTATCACCTTGAAGGAACTGATGGCCTCCCTTAGGAAATTGAGACCTTGCAGTCTTTGAACTCACGAATAACTTGTTGTACGGCTGTAATGAACAAAATGATGTGTCGATAAGTGTAAACAATGTTATATGTGTAGATAAGTTCTCTCAGCCAAATTAGTCATCAAAGACGCTATGACGAATGAGTGATGAATGATAATAGCTTTATTCCAAAACAGTACTTGCGATACAGAATGGAATTCTCAGCATTTTACTACAGCATTGCATCCAGTTAGTAAATTAACAATAAAATAAAATTCTACATAGATTAAGGGTAATCTCAGTTAGTTTTGACAACAACACATTAGCATGTCGGTAGCAAAGCCAAAATTAAACAGAGTGTTTGAAGGTGCTAGAAACGTAGGTTCTAGCATATTTACCCGGAAGGAAGAAACAAAGCTGCACATAACAGAAAAAGAGAGAGAGAGAAAAGGAAAAGAAAGAAATAAAACGTCGTACCTATAAATGATATGAGTTGAAAAGATGAGATCCAGTTGTTCTACTGACTATTTAATAAGTCATAAGTATCACGCCTAATGCTTTCTTTATCTCACAGAACACGAGCTAAGTAGGGTATGGTTGAGTTTTTGTACTTACTACTGCGAGCATATAGTTTTCTATATAGGCTTCCGGTTCTACCTGGTGAGATACAAGGGGAGAGTTGTGAATGAAGAGGGTGGTATGAGTTAGATAAAATGGATTTAGCCCATTTTTCACATGAGTCTATGTGCCTGTCAACCAGAATATTACAAGCTGGTTAAGTGGCACGTTGCTTACCCTGCTGACAACCTTTAACATCTTGAGTAATAAGTTATATTCTTTCTTCAGTAGCCAGCCCAGGAAAAACTAAGAGGGAACAATAGAGAATAATAGGCAGAATACGAGAGTTAACGAATTGTAGGAGTAAGGGTTGGGTTATTCCAAAATGTATTAACTTCTTGATGTAGAAGGTAAGACGGAATATCTTCTTAGAAATCATCAAGATATGAGACGACCAGGAAAGATCAGAAGATAGAATGACGCCTAGGTATTTAATTTCTGACTTGGTTTCAATTTCAGTGCCATCTATGTTGCACACCTCGTGAGTGCTAACCAGTTTGTTTAGGTCAGATTTGTGCCTAAAGGTGAAATTAACTGTTTGGCATTTGGAGGGGTTTAAGGTAAGACCGTTTTCTTTGGACCACTGGCTGACTTCTGATAAAAAGCCTTTTAGTTTAGTGCAGTCACTCTGACATTTGACAGGCCAAGATACATTTAGGTCATCAGCATATTTGACAAAATTAATGTCATTTAAAGATGGTAAGTCATGTAGAAAGAAAGAAAAGAGAAGCGGGGAGAGTACAGCACCTTAGGGGACACCAGCTTTAGTGAGCACAGCAGAGGAGGATTTGCTTTTGTATACGGTTTGAAAAGTAGGAATGCAACCAGTTAGTGACCCAGGACTCAGTTTGTGTCATGGAGACCTTATTTAGCAGGAGAGATCTAGGTACAGAGTCGAAAGCAGAAGTGAAGTCGAGGGACGTGCAGCGGACGTATTTGCCACCTTTATCTAATGATGAGACGATACTGTTGTGTAAGACGGCTGCAGCGTCTAAAGTACTTCTACCCTGTCCGTTGGCAAATTGTTTGGGGTCTTCGAAGCTTTTAAGGGAGGGTTCGAGTTTAAGAAGTACTAGTTTTACCATAAGCTTTAGAAATGGGGAAGTGATTGCAATGGGTCTAAACTTTACGTTATTGCTATTGCCAGGTTTAGGGAAAGGGACTATGATCTAGACAAATGACACTGGTTACACTCTAGTGACAAATTGACTCAAGGATAAATATAAATTTTGACAATGTATTACATGCAAATCATACGTGATGTTATACATACATATAATCGACAGTATTTGGCTAGAATCTAGTGCCATATTATTCGTTTGATTCATCAGATATAATTGTGCACCGTTTTGAATTGCTTGAAGTATTTGTGTTTGACTGACATTGCTATCTGTATAGTTCACAGTTATCCCTGCTTCAGCTAGTATAGAGCCCGGATAAAATCGTAGAATATTACAGAAGGTGATTTCGAATTGCATTGATGTAGTGAAACGAGCAGCAGCTTTTATCTGTAATAATAAATAAATAAATAGCAGAAAAATAAGGCGGCAGTTGTTATGAGATTCGATTAAAATGTTTGCATTTCAAAATTATTTGCTAGTGTGATTGATAGTCATTATAGTGGATAACATTATTCCCTTTTTGTTCACAACCACAATTGAAGTGAGTGATATTGATCAGTGCGATTCTCCATCATGCAAACTATAGTGTGAATAAAAACGAACGGAACACTTAGATATCCATCCATCTAGCCAGCCAGCCAACCTAGGAGAATATATTTCATAGCATTTCAAAGCTTATTAAGATGACTTCATTTGAAAGAAGTATGACAGATATCACAGAATATCCAACTGATATCCTGAGTCACATGGAGTCGCGGTGACGCTGGCGGTGATGATCGTGGTGGTTGTTTCCGTGGTGGTATGAGATGAGTCTGTGTGCGATGTGTCGGTTGTGTCGGTTGCACTGACAGTCACACTGGGAGTGGCCGACTCAGACTGAGCAGTGTCTGTCGTCGTGGTGGCGGCGATGTGGGAGGTCGACTGTGTGTGGATGAGCTGGTCAGTGGTGCTGGCAGATTCAGTGTCTGTCACTGCAGTGTCGGTGGCGAGTGAAGTCGGCGAGCTGGTTGTCGACATGTCTGTGCTCGAGGCTATTGTGGATTGTGAGGTGGGAATGTGAGTTGTGTCCTGTGACGGATAGCTGTCTGGTGTGTCTGAGCTGACGGTTGTTGTTGTTGTTGTTGTTGTTGTTTCCGGTGTCCATGTTGTTTTGCTTGTGGTTGTTGTTGTGGTTGTGTTTGTGGTTGCGGTTGTGGTTGTCGAGGTGATGTCTGTTGGTGCATAGGATGTGTCGGTTGTTGGTGTGGAGATGATGACAGTGGTCAGTGGTGTGTTCGTCGTTCTGTCGTCACTTGTCACAGTGGATGTCGACAGTTCTGAGGTGTCGGAGGCAGTGGTAGTTGTCGTTGTGTCGATCGTGGTGATGGTGGATGTGACGGCGATATCGGATTGGTCAGTGTCAGTGTGGGTGTCGGTGTGTGTGTCGGCGGTGGTTTGTTGATCGGTGGTGATGTGGATGTCGGTGGCGTGGTCGGTTGTGGTTGTGGTTGTGGTTGTTGTTGCTGTTGTTGATGTTGTGTTGGTGGTGGTGCTTGCAGCCGTGGCGTCAGTGGTCATTGTGGATGTTGTCGTGCTGGTGGAGGCGGTGGTGGGTGTGTCTGTGTGAGTGTGTGTGTCTGTGGTGTCGCTGCCGATGTCGTGTTCGTCGGTGGTGGTGTTGGCGGCGTGAGCATCTGTGGTGTCAGTGGACGTGTGAGTCGCGGTGACGCTGGCGGTGATGATCGTGGTGGTTGTTTCCGTGGTGGTATGAGATGAGTCTGTGTGCGATGTGTCGGTTGTGTCGGTTGCACTGACAGTCACACTGGGAGTGGCCGACTCAGACTGAGCAGTGTCTGTCGTCGTGGTGGCGGCGATGTGGGAGGTCGACTGTGTGTGGATGAGCTGGTCAGTGGTGCTGGCAGATTCAGTGTCTGTCACTGCAGTGTCGGTGGCGAGTGAAGTCGGCGAGCTGGTTGTCGACATGTCTGTGCTCGAGGCTATTGTGGATTGTGAGGTGGGAATGTGAGTTGTGTCCTGTGACGGATAGCTGTCTGGTGTGTCTGAGCTGACGGTTGTTGTTGTTGTTGTTGTTGTTTCCGGTGTCCATGTTGTTTTGCTTGTGGTTGTTGTTGTGGTTGTGTTTGTGGTTGCGGTTGTGGTTGTCGAGGTGATGTCTGTTGGTGCATAGGATGTGTCGGTTGTTGGTGTGGAGATGATGACAGTGGTCAGTGGTGTGTTCGTCGTTCTGTCGTCACTTGTCACAGTGGATGTCGACAGTTCTGAGGTGTCGGAGGCAGTGGTAGTTGTCGTTGTGTCGATCGTGGTGATGGTGGATGTGACGGCGATATCTGATTGGTCAGTTTCATTTATGTTTGCGCTTTTTGTGGTGGAAATGTTTTGCTGACCTAGTATGTCTTGATTGTTTATCTCTGTATATTTTATATTTTCTACCGTTATATGTGTACTCGTGCTCTCCGAGATATTTTCATATATATTCCATGCTTCTCTTTTTCTTTTATATTGTCTCACTTTTTTTATTTCTTCGTTTTTGTCCTGTTTTTCTTTTATTCTCTTATCTTTCATTTCTTTTCTTTCCTTTTTCAATGAGCTTCTTTTGTTTTCTTCTGGCTTCTTTTCGTTTCTTTTTTCTCTGACGTTTCTTTTCCCTTTAAATATTTTTGAAGACTTTTGTTAATTTTTGTAAGATTATGGGTTGTTTAAATTTTTCTACAATTTCATCTATTACCATACGAATGTTTATCCCTGTTTTTTTTCGTGTTTCTCTCATTTGGTTTCCCTCTTTCAATATTCTGCTGTTATTTCTTTTCGCTTATTTATTTTTACTTCTTCTCTTGTCTCCTGTCTTTGTACTTTTCAGTTTTGTGTTAGATAAATAAATATATTTCCACCTAAATTTAATACTATTTTCCTCTCTGCTTGTGGTCTTTTTATTTCTTTGTTGCTTTCTTTATTAATGTTTTTTTATACTAAATATGGTGTACTTTACCGATTTTACGCATAGAATCCCATCATTTAATTTTACCCATTTATTTATTTTGAAATATGTGCAGTTGGATATATATGTATACATATTTATATTCTAGAAACATTTGCTTAATTTCAAAGCATTCTTTTCTTTCTTCTCACTACCTGATTCATGTCAATTTATTCTAGTAATGTATCAGTCTTAACTTCCTAAATGCGTCGGTGGTATAGCGGTTAGGACACTCGCCGACCTGGCACATGGTCCGGGGTTCGATCCTTGGCCGCTGACGGACTCCTTTACCTCGCTAAGCCAGAAATAATCCTGATGAAGAGGAAAGGTTGGGCATAAGGCTAGCAACCCCAACCTGTAAAAAGTAAACACTGCTACTGAAACTTCAAGCCACTAGCTTGATTGAAGCCCTATGTTCCACTGGGGAACGTGAAGGAATAAAAAAAATTAACCTCCCATATTTGCTGAATTATTTACAGTCGTGTTTCTAATGTAGGTAGACCTTGTGAGTAATTATTCAAACTTAATGAACATGTTGTCATGTTTATGAATCAGAATTAGTCACAGGGCATTTATATGCTTACAAGTAATTCCGACTAACTGTTAGCTAAGACTTAGATCACTACAGTTTTTTTTTAATTATTTTTGTATGACCGATAAATAATTCGTAAAAAAAGGACTAATATGAATTATCGAAGATGAAAGAAACAAATATAAGGCTTAATAACATGAAACAAATACCAGCAGTTAAAAGTTACATCTGAATTCTATTAGATTATGTGGTCAAAATGAAAATGTTGAAATTATGAACTGTTAAGATTTACTGACTTTTCTTACGCTTAAACAGTTTTTCGATTCGCCTGCTAATTATTTTGTTTTTAATTTAAGGAAATCATAAAACTCCTAGTGATATAGTCTTAATATTTATGTGATATAAATGTGATGGAAAGATGAAGTGAATGCATATTGTGTCGGTGGTTCAGTGGTCACCATCCAGTCATTCACATAGTCAGTGGTTCGATTTACCAGGTGATACACTACACTTCTAAACCTTATTTAATTTATTCGTTGACAGTAAGCCTTGAAAAGAGAGTATGTTAGGTGTTAAGACAGTAAAACCTTTCGTGTATAAACATCACAGAGTTTACAGAGACTTTAAGGCTTCATGCCTCAAGCTTTATATACCACTAGGAACTCAAGAAATTAAGAAGAAAATATCGTAAGCTTAAATCAAGAGTAATCATGCTCTATGAGTACTGACAATTAAACTCGTAATTAGTGTAAACTGTCAATGTAGTATTGATGATACAGGTCGTTCAACCATTTGTACCATTAACCTGTTAGTTGGCTGGAAGTAGTCAATAGGATATCCTGGACGTAGAAATCGAAATTATTCGGAAGCATTAGCAAAGCGTGTCTACTGCCTGCAAAGAAATGATGCTTCCTTACAGGTTCAAACTCGCTTCATCAAGTAGTGCACGCAAAAATATTAGCAGTAACGTCTTTGTCTTGATGGTTGATCTTCTGTAGGACTATAATGGATGTATTGATTGGTCACAGAGGGGGAATGAGATGGAATACTAACTTACAACTTAAAATCAGAAATAATTCGAATGCTTCCAAATAAGTGATATATTATGCCTAGCGTCTATTTCAATAAAAACTTTCTGTCTTACACAATTATATATCTTCTCTTCAATTAACTTCAAGCATATATTTCTTGCAGTATCCCATGATATATTCCTACTTTTATGAAGATGTCACTGACTACATGTGTCAAAAGTTTTCTAGTTTGTAAATTCCAGTCAGATCTTGCTTTGCAGACAAAACAGTGATAAGTTACATGACATCATACTGAGCGGAAATTGGTTAGAGAACTATTGGAAAACCTGCAGGGAGTACTGGACAGCTATTTCCCCCTTCCTAGTTTGGGACTCTTCGTCAGTACGCATCCACCGCCAGGGTTCGAACCCAAGACCTTCTGGTTACAAGGCGAGCTAGCTCGTAGACCATTAAGCCACTGGGATCCAATCCAATGACTATCCCATGAAGTCTGACTTCTGCCAATCCACGATATAGCGCAACCGCTAGCCAATGTCTTCGGCGAGCTTTTGTCCTCACACCCGACCTGCTGCACCCTACTGGTCACGACTTCTCACTAGAACCCCAGGTAACTACCTACCTGAATATGGCAAGTTGTCAGTGAGCATCTCATCGATATTCAAGTGTTGGTTTGTGGGGATTTGATTGACTGGTTACTGGATTTCATCATGCAAGCAATGACAAATAGTCATTTTATGTTGAACGATTGACTACAGTATCTTTCTAACATAAACTTAAATGTAATCTAAGCAGAAACCACAACTGACGGGATAATCATAGCTTCTTTTTAGCTTAAATTATTATATACATTTACGTAACTTATTTGTATGACAATGAAAGTTTTTTCAATTTATTAGGCTCTGTTATAAACCAAATGAAGGTTAGAACCAGAAATATAATATTTTATCTTTCTCTTAGTTTTTAAACCTCTAATTCAAAGTTTAAGTGTGTTTCATATACCTTCAATTCCTATCCTCTGAATGGTTGTATTTATTGGCTAATTAAACTATTAATTTACATATCTATTCATAGAATAAAAATCATTTTAACCTCATTAATTATTGACTTACCTATATTTGAAGTATATCCACTGGAAAATGAATAATCAGGTAAACTGCTTATCGACTGTGAAACAGTTATAATACTTTCACTTCCAGAGCTAGATGGTTCAACTGATGTTTCTGTTGTTAATATAGTCTGCCAAGTGGTCATAACTTTTGTAGTATTTTCAATTACTTCAGACGTTTGTTCAACAACCATAGTTGACATATCTGTTATGTTTAAAGGAATATTTTCAAATGTTCCTGTTGATAGACTGATGTTATCTTCACTTATTGCAGATGATGTGATATCAACTGTCGATTCAGTGCTTCCTGTTGACACTAAAAGGTAAACAGGTTGTCAGATTTGTCATAAAAGCGAATAATTACAGGCACAAAATTAATTACCAGATCAATAAAGACTATTCAATTAAACATATGCATAAAAAACGTTTTGAAATACTAAGAATAATATGTGGAGCAATTAAAAGTTTTCCTAATCTCCACAAAAATATGATTCAAGTATAGTATAGTTTTGGGCAGATTCTTTACACAATCTGTGTCATATTGTATACAACGATGATAGCTGTGATTATATATAAGTCCATCAATTTGGTTATATCCTAATCATTGACAATATAAAAACGTAACTTGGAACATGGATGCAACCATAGATATAATTAAGTGGAATTTATTAGATATCTAATTACTTCATATATCAAAGATTTGTTGTCTCTCGAAGAGTTCATGTCCGAATTATTCAGATCATGGCTTTATACATAAATGAAAAGGACTATTCATAATATGGTGTGTGTATGATACAGTTTCCTGTGAGCAGCAATCATTAAACTGTGAAATGAACTAGTGCTATTGATAGGTAAACTATTTCAGATCGAATTCACTCCAGTCATATGTATTTAATAACAATTCACTAGATATGAAGCAAATTTTGATTTTAATTGCAGATAATTCCTGTAATAGAATTGGAAGTCAAAAAGAGTTTCCATTTTGTCTTCATTAAGTTAAACTTCAACATGAACTCCATTGAACTAAGAATTGGGACAAAAACGAAGGATAAGCTAGGTAGTTTTGTCACATCTATGTGTGTTTATCAATTCAACTGCACCTGCGGTGACAGTTATATTGGACGTATTACTAGACAGCTTAGCCAACTGAACATCTCCCATTGTGGTTTGGCAAAGGACAGACAAAAACAATCCGTAGCTCAATTTCGTCATATTTAACTGATAGTGCTTATGTAGTGGAAAAAACGAGAGCTTTCAAAGTAATTCATCGTATCCCACCGAATCTTTCCAATTGACTTCGTATTTGTCTACTGCACACAGGTGAGGCAAGTGATACGCATTCGAACTATTAAACCTAAACTATGCATTCAAAAGAAGTTCATACAGCTATTATCCCTCCACTTTGGCCTATTAAGACATAACCAATTTATGACTCCTACACCACCCCTAACTTTTTCAACTCCTCTCTTATCATCCCTTTCAATCTTATCACATCTTCATTAAAAACATGTTTCATTTACTTCCCTAGCATTACTTAACCGCTTCATTTCTTTTTCTTAGCCTTTATCGACTACTTCTACCTGAAAATTTGTTTGTTCAGTAATGTTGTTTTTCGTTATTCGTGTTGTCACAGATTGTCTGACTTTTTCATCCTTATTATTGATAAAACCATTATTACTATTATTATCACTACTACAATTATGACTAATTGCACAATTTATATTCACCATCTTATTATCCTATAGACAAAACACCATGATTGGCTTATATTAGAATTTTTATTTGTAAAGTTATGCATATTAGAGTTAAGCCTGATGAGGCCTAATTAAAAACAATATTGTTCGTTTAAATGTGTTGTTCTAAATTTTACTATGGGAATATTTAATTCATTAGGAATTTTATCATGAATATAAGTCACTTAGAGAATCTCTGAAAGATCAGTCCGTTCAATGGTTTTAGGGTTAACATGATATCGTTTAACCACCAAATGAAAATTTATTTAGCATATCAATATAATATTAGTATCATTTGATTCACTTGCCATAGGCATTAGAAAAAAACTAGAATCGTTGTTAACTTTAAAAAGTAGTATTAAATCAAATTAGCTGACCTTTGCGTAAGCAGTTAGCTATACGATACAAGTTAAAATAAATATAAGAAGAAGAAAACATGAGACACTGGTGCTGGGCGTGATAGCAAAGAATGATCACAGATAAATTTTTAGAACAGAATTTATTGTTCTTCATGTATTCAAAGTAACGCGTATAATCTGTGATCCACTTAAAATCAGACTGAGGCTGTGAACCTGTACTGAACCTGTGACATGTCTACTGAAAAGATTTATAAGTAGTATACTGACGGATATATATATATTTATACCATGTACAAGAATATCAAACAGGGGAGAGATGAATTTAGTGACAAAATGAGAAGAAATGAACAATGTTTGTGAAACAACATGGTAAAGGCGAAAAGAAGGCAAAGAAAAGCATTACAGAAGACAAAGTTAACCCAATACCGAATGTATGTACAAAATAATAATTCTAAATTATGTTAGACGTGCTATGCGCCTATCCACAATAGAAAACTCAGTGAGGTATTCGAAGTGAATACAAGAGTAAGATAATCTGGCTGCCTATTATCACAACGGATGATATTCTTAGTTGTCGTGGACTAGATTGTGTGGCACACAGTACACAGGGAGTGGGAAGACAGGAATACGGTGAACCACCAATATGAAGACTTCAGAAGATCTGGATTTCTCATGTAGATGATTTGTGATTAATGTCACACAAACTCGAAGATTTACGGGTAGGCGACAACTAACAAAATGGCTGGAGAAGCAGCCGGCGAAGTCACAGTTCCAGGTGAACATAGAGAAAACGGAGGTGATGGAGATAACCAACTAACAACAGCAGTAACCAGTTCCAATCACCGTCAAAGGGAGAGATTCAACAGAGGTTACTTCCTTCATTCACTTATCTAGGCAGTATGAATTGTTTCAATCACAGGCAGTCGGAACGGATGAAGGTGTCAAAGCCGGTTATGCAGAATTGGAAAGGCAAGATACGCCTTCGTCAACTTGAAACCACTTTGGAAATCTGTTGCTGCACTCCACCTTAGCATAAAGAACAAGATTGGGATTTTCAACACAAATACGAATTCAGTCAGTCAATCACTCCTTCTATCCGAGTCAAAAACGTGTACTGCGTGTGGGTCACGAAAAGATTCCCAACAAACTGTTGTAGACTAACATCAACAGCTGCTCACTTCTCTGGCTGGCTCCCTACTGAAGATCAAATGGCCGGCCGACCGACCAGAAACAGTTAGCAACAAGAAACTCTGGCTGAGAACAAAGCAACAGGCGAGAGCTGATTGTTGAACAAATATGTAGAAGAAAGTGAAGATGGACCAGGCATATGTTGAGGAGATAGTCGAATGAACTCACACGCAATGCAAGCCATCGCTCGAGTAGAATCCGAATGTGAAACGATGAATGACATGAAGGAGGAGATGAGGGCCTATGAGCAATCGTGGGCGCAGCTGAAGAGGACAGCAGAAAATATGAGGAAGTGGAGATGTGTTGTTGACGCTCTATGTTCCGCTCAAAACCCATATGAATGATAATATAATAAACAACATTTCGACTATATTTGCACATTGAATCACCAATAGATAATGCTACTACCCAAAACTCTTCCGTTCTACCATTACAAATCTTGCAAATGGATATATAACATCATTCGCATTTCAACACAAAGTCAAAAGCATCAACTGCATATAGACACATCCAATCGTAACAAAATATTTATTCAACAGATAGAAGTCATTTTAAGCTGTCAGTCATACTTGAGACTGACATTTGTTCATATTTCTCTAAAAGCTCAAAATGGTATTATAAACACTACCATTATGCATTAAAGATGAGAAAGAAGAAAAATTTAAACCCATATTTGAGAAAACTCCAAAAATTCAAATTACTATGATAAAGCTCATTGATTTATTGAAGTTGTAATATTAAATTTAAAGTGAAAGAGAAAAAAACGTACACAGCAAAAGAAATTTTCTTTTCAATGATTCATTTCCGTAAGCTGTACAATCATAAATATACTTAACAAAGAATCCAAAACAACCAATCAGATATTGGTATAATTTGTCCTTGAAAGGCGTATTACGTTATGTGAGGTGTCATCTAGACAGGGTGACTAATTGGAAGTTAGAAAAGGGGCATAAGTTGCAATGGCTTAATAAATGTGAGAAAATCACTAATCAGTATAACTGTGTAAATTAAAAATCCCCATAGTGTAGTCAGAAACTGGACCTCTACATTCGAAGCACGATATTTATTCCCTCGCCCTACTGTGGCCATAGTAAGGCTCTTATTATAATTTTGCTTGACTCTACGCCAATAGCTCAAAAAAATCATCGTTGATAAAACTACAGTTCCTCAGTGACAACATCAGCGAAATAGTAAAACAATGCCTGAAGAATGCAAGTAAAAGAGATTTCAATACAGTAGAGGTACTCTGTCTCTTCACTACCACCCTCTATTTTAAGCCAGAGAAATAAAGACAAACTGCCTAATTCTGCCTCCTCACTGTATATCTACGAGTTTGACTGAAGCTGTAGAGCAAGCTACATTGACTTTACAATTAGGCAGGTTCATCACCGTATTTTCAAACATCATCTAGCATGAGTAAGCAAGGAACCAACAATATCTATTTGTAGCCCCGTTTTAGCACACCTTGTTGATAGTGTGCATAAGGTTGATGTCAATACAGCATTAAAATGTATTTATCACATTTTTACTTATCTTAATTCTGCTTTAATAGTTCATCTTCTGCATAGAACTAAAGCAATAGGAATTCACCTGAAGAAGAATTTATAAAAACACTTTATTGTCTTTCTACTAGTTCTTGTCCCCTTTACACAGTTATACTGATCAGTGATTTTCTCACATTTATTAAGCCATTGCAACTTATGCCCCTTTTCTAACTTCCAATTAGTCACCCTGTCTAGATTACACCTCACATAACGTAATACGCCTTTCAAGGACAAATTATACCAATATTTAATTGGTTGTTTTGGATTCTGTGTTAAGTATATTTATGATTGTACAGCTTACGGAAATGAATCGTTGAAAAGAAAATTTTCTTTATTATGAGCTGGCATTCATTAGAGAACCATTGGAAAACCTGCAGGGAGTACTGGACAGCTATTTCCCCCTTCCTAGTTTGGGACTCTTCGTCAGTACGCATCCACCGCCAGGGTTCGAACCCAAGACCTTCTGGTTACAAGGCGAGCTAGCTCGTAGACCATTAAGCCACTGGGATCCGATCCAATGACTATCCCATGAAGTCTGACTTCTGCCAATCCACGATATAGCGCAACCGCTAGCCAATGTCTTCGGCGAGCTTTTGTCCTCACACCCGACCTGCTGCACCCTACTGGTCACGACTTCTCACTAGAACCCCAGGTAACTACCCACCTGAATATGGCAAGTCGTCAGTGAGCATCTCATCGATATTCAAGTGTTGGTTTGTGGGGATTTGAAGAAATCCTGTAACCAATCGAATCCCTACAAACCAACATTTGAAAATTTTCTTCCTTCTCTACGTCTTTTTCTTTTAAAGGGAATCCTTAGCACCAGAGAAGATACACAAAATCTTCAACATATATGTTAAAGTAAAGAAAGAAGATACAGAATAAAACTAGAAATCAATCTATTTAACAACTGTGTAAGAATGGAGTTTCTGAAGTGGCTCCAAACGGACCATCACTAAGTTTTCTGAAAACACAGCTACAGTTTTAAATATTCAATTGCTTTTTATTTACCTAAGAATAAAAATTATTATTATCAACTGAATTTTCCAAAATGCTTGCAGTTCTTGGATTTATAAGATGAGTTAAGCTGAACTCCTCCAACCGTTACACAAGAAGGTGGTAAATCATAGTAGTAAAGACGTTTTTGAATTCACTGCCAACGTAGATGATATCAATGTAAATGGGAAGCAAATGCTATCCTTAGATGTAGCATCACTGTTTACCAATGTACTACTTATGGAGACTGTGGAATTCATATGCCAACAAATACTACAAAAACAGTTCGACATCGGAATTCCAGTTATTAGTCTTAAAGAGTTGCTTTTAAGATGTACTATGAATGTACACTTCACATTCAACAACCTTTTTTTCCTTTACGTTCCAGTGGAACATAGGGCCTCAAGCCAGTGGCTTGAAGTTTCTGTATCAGTGCTTATTTTTACAGGATGGGGTTGCTAGCCTCATGCCCAACCTTTCTTCTTTACCAGCATTATTTCTGGTTTAGCGAGCTAAAGGGGTGCATCGGCCGGGGACCGAACCCCGGACCATGTGCCAGGTCGGCGAGCGTCCTAACCGCTGTGCCACCGACGCACAAGTGACACTTCACATTCAACAACCCTTACTACAAACAGGTCGACAGCATTCCGGTAACTTCTCCATTGAGGCCGATTTTGGTAGATTTCTTTCTTGCTAAGGTTTAAAATGGTCCATTGAAGCAAGTAATAGATAAAACTGATTCTTATTTTCGCTATGTCGATGATACGTTTATTATTCTTGATGTGAAAGCTGACAAGAATGAAATGTTAATAAAATTTAATGATGCATATCCATGGCTCATCTCCACTTGTCAAGAAGAACATGATGGTAAACTACATTTCCTTGACGTCCAACTGAGCAGGAGAGAGGATGGTTCACTCAAGAGAGATGTCCATAGAAAACCTACATCTGTAGTACATTTCCTCAGTTTTGTACCAATCCCATACAAAGTCAGTTTGGTCAGATGTCTCACGAAGGAAGATCAGGAAGACGGATCTGTACAGATGACTCCCTAGAAAGTGAGTTAGGATACATCCAAAATACGTTGGTCCAAATGGGTTATCCCAGTAGATTTGTAAGGAGACACATGAACATCAGGTACAATCAAGAGAAATTGACAACAGTTAAAAAAACTGTTCATGAAATTGCAATTTAATTGGGACATGGATAGTGAAGTCTTATATCTGAAATTACTGAGAGCGATAAAACGGACTTATACTGCTGCCACCCTTTGTTTATGATTTTCCAGCCGACCAATTATGATTGATCAAGCGAAAGACAAGCTATACAGTACTATATTATATAAATATTACTGTTTGAAGTTGCGGGACTTTATCAAAATAGATTCTACCCATAATGGAATTATACTGCACGACAGTGGACAAGTTCTATTCTTATATCCAAAGACAAGCTAACTAGCTGTGCCACTTCTATGTGTATCAACAAATTTAGTTGCTCCCGTGAAGAGAGCTATATAGCGCGAACAACTAGACAGCTTAACAAACGCATCAGTGAGCATCTTCCTTCTTGTTTCGGAAATGCCAAATAAAATCTATAAGAAGTTCTATTTTAACTTATTTGTTTGATAGCGGCCGCCAAATGGACAGAAGTAGTGCCTTCAAATTTATCTATCGCATTCCATCGAGTCTTTCGAACGGAATTCGAATCCGTCTTTTGCACATAGCCGAAGCTATGGGAATTAATTCGAGAGAACAATCCTAGTCTTTGCATACAGCAAAAGAAGTTTGTTCTACCTTTGTCTCTCCATTGGCCTAGGTGAATTCTAATCAAAACCCTCCCACCCTTTCTTATTTTTCACTTCTTTCGTACTTTTATGATATCTATTTAAACTCCGATTATCTGTCCACTTCACCTTTAGTATTACGTAACTTTTAAGATTTGACCTCATTTATTTACTGAATTGACTACATATACACATATTACTACCTTTGCTAGTATTATCTCCATCTGCATAAACCTTACTATCAATATTTTGTTTAAAACACTTAGTCCCTTTTATAAATTTGGACAGCGTTATTAGAAGACGGAGATTATCTGAAAAACGATTTGATGTATTTGTGCTAGACATTTCCAACAATCTGATCACACATTTACTGGTAAAGTTGATATATATGAAAAATTTAAATTAAACAAAGTGACAAATAAAGGATCTAAGAATGATTAACACAATGTTTGATAATCCAATCAAATAAGGATTACCAAGGTAGGTTAAGAGTAATAATAAACTGTTTTTGAATACACAGGGGGAGGGTGGGCCTAAGTTTATGAGTGGCTGCAGCCTCGGCATATTTCAATAAGCGCCCTTGGACGTTTTTATAGATGACCTTATAGGCTGAGTTAACATCAATCTTAGGGTTCATCTCGATTAGGTGTTTAGCTATAGACGAAGCTGGTAGTCTGACACCTGCACCTATTGGTTTTTCACAATTCATTTGTTTTTCTAGCCATTTTGGGATACGCTCTCCTACCTTCACATGCAAAGCGCGACTACTCCCCCCTATGTATGTGTGACCACACACACGAAAATTGGTAAATAGTGTGGGATGCGACACAATCACTTGTGCACTTTTGAGGTTTTCAGTGGAGCATATTTTTCGCTTTTTGGACAATTACAAGATGGGCTGCATAATAGGTTCTACAGATAATCGAATTCAACCTTTGTCTCAAAATCCTACTGTTTATTTCCCCGTTATATTGTAATTTGATGAAAACATTTTCTCTAGGGGCGGTATGGATAGTAGGTTTAGAGACTAATTGACTTCTAGACCTGTTTAAAAATCTTAAAGGATATCAGTTTTCAACAGGAGTACCCATCAATATTTCGTTTTCTTTGTCTAAAACATCAGCCGTACAAACACGTTAAATCCTCTTAAATAGACATTTCACCAAGCCTCTTTTTATACTGTAATGGACAGAAACTGTGGAAATTAAGGTACTGCCCTGTCCAAATGGGCTTTCTGTAGATTGATCGTCTCTTCGAGTCAGATGTATGTCTAAAATTGCAAGCTGGTTGCGACTTTCTTCCTCGCATGTAAGACTAATATGATTTTGTACAGAGTTGAGTCTGTCTAATACACGACTCGCATGTTATAATGAAACTAAACCAAAGACTTAAGTCCGTTACCAAAGAAAATATCTTTCCTAATTGTCCAGAAAAATACGTGTTCATTTATTCTGATGTTCCGCTATCTCCAATTCAAATGAATTCTTAGCACTTGGACCTAAGTTTTGTGATGCAACGTCAAAAGTGAATGAACTGAACACGAAAGTCCAATTCGATAATTTAGTCGATCAGACGAAAGATCTCGTCCCAATCTCATATGAGAATGCAGAACTTTTCAAGTCAACCGTTTTAAATTGCTGTCTTGATTATATCAACAAAAAACCCAAACTTTCCAGAGAACATCGAAAGAATCTGAAAAAACTGAAGGATAATGAAAACTTGATCATGACACGGCCAGACAAAGGCTCCGGGATCGTCTTGATAAACAAATCAGAATACCTAAGCAAACTCTCAGTGAAACTATCTGATGGTAAAAATTTTGTAACTCATAATATGATTATTAAATTAATTATTTTGGATTCCCTTCAAATTAAATTATATAATTACATGAGCATATATAATTACCAGTAACTTTTACATGCTCAACATTTCATGCTTCTGTGCATTTATTTGCTAGAAAGGTGTTTTTACTAACTTTAAGCGATCCAAATCTGAGCCACTCAGTGTTGTTGCCAGTTAGACTTTTTCTAAGCTGTTTGGGATACAAAGTTAAAACAAAACTAACATCAGCTATTCAGGTGTTGCTTTGAAGGGATTTGATTAGTTACAGGATTTCACGGTGAGCTGATATCGATTAGAAAACCATTGGAAAACCTGCAGGGAGTACTAGACAGCTGTTTCGTTCTAGTTTGGGACTCCCCATCAGCACCCACTCATCGCCAGGATTCGAACCCAAGACCTTCTGGTTACAAGTCGAGCTAGCTCGTAGACCATTGAGCCACTGGGATCCGATCCAATGACCAGCCCACGAATTCTAACTTCTGCCAATCCACGATATAGCGCAACCACTCACCTTGTAACCAAAAGACCCCGGCTTAGAACCCCGGTGGTTGCGTACTGATGAATAGTCTCAAACTAGGACGAGACAGCTGTCTGGTACCCTCAGTTGATTTTCCAACTGTTCTCTAACCGATGTCACCTAATGATGAAATCCTGTAAACTACAGCTAAAATCAAAAAGCAAAGAAAAATTCAATTTGATAATCCAAGCAGTATTTGAATGCACACGTCTCATTATGAGCTGGAATAAATTACAGAAAATAACTTACACAATGTTGTCACTTCTGTTCCATACTCATTTGTTCCATTTACTGACTGGGATGTCAGCGACACTGATTCTGAACTACTAACTCCAACAGTCATTGTAGTATATGGACTGCTGTCATAGGTATTAGTGTAAAGTTGTGTGAAGGATTCTGTAGAAGTCTCTTTGTCTGTTGAATAAAATGTTTGAGATTCTGTTACAACGATTTCTTGTACAATAGGAATGGGTACTTGAAAAGAAATAGAAAGATAAATAAGGTGATCATTACTGCAATAAGGATATATCTCAGCTCGTAAAGTGATTTATTATCAAAGCTGTCACATCAAATATTAATTAATATTTGTACAGATAACTATTTGAAATCTAAGTGGGATTTTAACCTAAACTTTTACCTCACTAGATAGTTAAAACAAGGGGAATTGTTTCATGATATGTTATGCATCCAACACAACTAGTGATAGAACAGTAGCCTTCATTTCATTACTCCCTTGGTTTCTGAGTGGAACGCTGGGCTTCAGCGGCACATCTCAACCTTCTGCTATTTTCTGCCGTCAACTTCACCTGGGTTGACGATTGACCATAATCTCTCATCTACTCCTCCACCCTCCACACGATCTCCTGCATGTCAACCTCGCACCGACTACCCACACGTCGCTTCCAATTCGGATTACACATGGGCAACAGCCTGTATTGCACGCGATATCACTGAACCACCTCCTCAACGGATGCCCGATCCATCTCCACCTTCTCCTACATATTTGTCCAGCAATTGGCTCTCGCTTGCTCAGTTGGTTTGTTACCAGCCAAAGTTTCTTATTGCTAATTCTTTCTGGCTGGCTGGCTGGCCATTTGATCCTCAGTATGGAGCTAGCTAAATGGGCAGCTGTTGGTAAAAGTCTGCAACAGGCTGTTGGAAATCCTTTTCGTGACCCACACGCAGTGCAAGTTTCTGATTCGTTTCGAAAATCCCAATCTTGTTGTTTATGCTGCGCAGTGCAGTACAAGCAGCAGATTTCCAAACTGGTTTTACGTTGATGAAGGCGTATATGGCATTTCCGATTCTGACCTTGACATCTCCGGCTGCCTGCGGTTGAAACAATACTTCTTAGATAAGTGAAAGAAGGAAGTACCCTCTGTCAAATTTCCTCCGTTGATAGTGATTGGTGCTGGTTTTTTTTGCTTTTGCTGTTGATGGTGGTTGGTTGTCTTCATCACCTACACCTTCTCTATGTTTACCTGGAGTTCTGTCTTCGCTGCTAGAGTTTGCAGCCAGTTTGTTGGTTGTCGCCTGTGGGTCTTTGAGTTTGTGCGGCATTAAACACAAATCATCCACGCATGTGATATTCAGATCTTCTAGGATCTTCTTATTGATTATTGCAGCGTATTCCTGTCTTCCAACCCCCGGTGTAAAGTCTGACGCATAATCCAATCGCCCCACAACTAAGAATATCATCGGTGGTAATAGTCAGTCAGCCTTTTCTTACTCTTGTATTTACTTCAAACGCCTCGCTGAGTTATCCGTTTTGGATAACCTGACACGTGGCATTGTCATATAGAAACCTTCCTTTTTTTCCTCCACGTTTCCAGTGGAACATAAGGCCTCAAGCTAGTGACTTGAAGTTTCTGTAGTAGTGTTTATTTTTACAGGATGTGGCTGCTAGCCTCATGCCCAACCTTTCCTCTTTACCAGCATTATTTCTGGCTAAGCGAGGTAAAGGAGTGCATCGGCTGGAGATTGAGAGTCTTAACCGCTGTGCCACAGACTCACAGTCAGATTTCCTGACATAGTGACTTCCCTATCCAATAAATTCATTTAGCTTCTCTACTCACACTCAACCGGATCTCTTCAAAGTCACTCAATAACGTGCAGTGGATTAATTTTCAATCAAATCGCCTCACATTTGAATATCACATCTTATCTTAGAAGTTAATTGGTTCAATCAATCGATGGGAAAATCTAAAATTGAATTAAATATTTTATTTTACCTTATATTTTTGACGTATACCGCAATCTTAAAACAAAGGTATTATCACTCATATATTCTATTCATTTTGATAAAGCCACTCTCAGTAATTAGTATACCATTTATTAATGAATGAAATTTAAACTGGAAACTTAAGTAAAAGTAATATAAGCTTGACGGTATATTTTACAGTTGTCATTTATCTACTAAAAGTAAGATATATTAAGAAGTTCGATCACGAATTGATAACAGTTAGAGAACTCGTAAAATAAGGTTGCAGATACGCCTTGCTGACTGGTGAGTGCCAACTAGCACGAAACCTAGGTCAGGCAAGACTTCCTGTCTATTGCATCCAACTATCTAATATCATCAAATCAATGTACACCGTGATGGATGGCGAGCTACCTAGAATGGTGGCCACATTGCAAACCTGACTGATAGAATTCAGTCTTCACCAAAAAAAGGACTAGACATATAGAGAATCAAAGTAGAAATCTAATCCTTACAAACAAACTATTGAAAATGCATAATAATAAATAAAATCTAACTTACTGATAACAACATTGCTTTGTGGATGAATACCTATGCTAGTAGTAGTGTTTGTAGTGTTTGCAAAATTCACAATTGCTTCAGCTACAATCTCTGTGAGTGTAGAATTTAACTGAACTGCATCCGTTGAAGTGGTTTCTTGTATAAATAATAAAGTGACATTGGCAACTACTGAACCTTTACTGAAGTTAACCGATAGACATTCTGCACGCCAGTTGTCCAAACTGACAGCATTTAAACTTGATAGGACCTATTCATTGTAAACATAGTTTAATCAGTGTATTCTTTTTTTCTCATAAATTATCAAAATAAATACAAAATTAATGAAAACAAAACACGTAAATCAGCAAAGAGTCTCTTTTCAGCGAATTCATTCTCTTAGCTGTACAATCGCAAATACATATATATGTTATTTTCTATGTGTATGTACATTAAGTTTGTCAAACAAAATTACAATTGGCTATGGTTATTTTAACTAAACAGGTGAAAATTGGTAATGCTAGTCAAGAAAATTAGGTGTTAGTGAAACTAGGGTAGTAACAAAGATGATGAGTTGTCACAAACAGTTGTTAAAAGAAGTTATGTCATAATATGAATAGTTTGGTGAGTGAGTTTTACTCAGGATGCACATAGGAACAAAGTAGATAATACGAAATTACGTAAGAGTTCTAAATGAATAGAAGAATTATAAGCAATTAAAGAACAGGCGAAGAAAGAAAATCTAGTCATCCAAAAATCAATCGGTACATCGGTCGTTCAACGGGCACCCTGTCCAAGAGGATTCAACAACACTATCCAGCATGGTTGTGAAAAGGCGATAGTGGTGCAATAAGGAGTGTGACATTTGAACACCTGGTTAACACTGATCATTCCATCTCAACAAACGCCTCCTGCTTCAAAGTAATCTACAGGGTCAAGAATAACCTACCGAAGGAAATACGGTTTCGTCTTCTTTGTATAGCTGAAGCTCTGGCTATTCACATAGAAAAACTGGAGTTGTGCATACAAAAGAGGATTACTCAACCACTTCTACTATCATGATAACAACTCTTTTTGGATGACTTAATTTTCTTCTTTGCCTGTTCTTTAATTGCTTATAATTCTTCTATTCATTTAGAACTCTTACGTAATTTTGTATTATCTACTTTGTTCCTATGTGCATCCTGAGTAAAACTCACTCACCAAACTATTCATATTATGACATAACTTCTTTTAACAACTGTTTGTGACAACTCATCATCTTTGTTACTACCCTAGTTTCACTAACACCTAATTTTCTTGACTAGCATTACCAATTTTCACCTGTTTAGTTAAAATAACCATAGCCAATTGTAATTTTGTTTGACAAACTTAATGTACATACACATAGAAAATAACACATACATGTATTTGCGATTGTACAGCTAAGAGAATGAATTCGCTGAAAAGAGACTCTTCGCTGATCGACCTGCTTTGTTCTCATTAATGCCTGGATGGGGATTATCCATGAAATGAAATGCAAAATTACATGAAATTTGCTTATATTAAAATATTTTGTTGGAAATGAGTCGATTTCAAGAAACCTTTCGTCACAAACTGATATTAGCAAGAGGGAACAATTAAAATGGAAGCCGCCTTCCCTGACTAACTGTGTTTTTTCCTTTCTTCTAAAGATGAAATTATTATCCAGTTATCTGTACCCACCCACCCACAAGCAGGACTAAATCATGTTTTGTGATGACCACGCTAGGTGACATCAAACTATTGATTTCCAAATTATGCCGAACATGTCCATCTATGAGATTATTGGTAGGAAACGGTTAAAGCTGAAAACAAAATCATCGGTTGTTAAGGTTTATTTTGTTTCAGAAGTTGTCATGGCATCTGGATAATTTAACCGAACAGTTTAACAATTCATCCAGTCAGTCAGAATAAGTATTTTTCCGTTGACCTTGGATGACTTTGTATAAATTATAGGATAGTTATATGTGCTGTTAATTCTAGGTGTCTAACTCTTTTTAGTGTCGTCGTAATCTGCATCATAGTCCACTCAGTCACATCAGTTATTGTCCTTCAGATTAAAGTGTAGACGAAAACGTCTCAGCCATATTTCGATAGCGTAACAACTGGAACTAACGACGTCTGCTATAGACGAAAGGTTGATCAGATTTATATGCGGTAAATTTCTCAGAAATCGACACCCGTTTATTTGTTAACTTTTGCTTTAATATAATCATCTAACTTTAGGATAATAGTAGCTGGATGGCCTTTATCTATTTATTTTACCGAATATACTGATATAATCCTACGTAACTCGTATTACATGATAGGTACTTTTGAAGAAGACTTTGAAGTCGTTTACTTTCATGTGCAAAACAGACAACATCAAGATTACAGAAGTGATGGTAGTTGTATATTACTTTTCAAACTTTGCTTTTTTATGAACAGACTTAATCTGATGTAAGTCAAATGCTGTTCTTCATTTTGCAGTTACAAAACTTTACCGCTATAGCAACGACAAATATGTCAAGTTTACAACAGATATTATTTAGCTGCGTAGGAGAACTGGTATAAATCATCCTGATTACTAAGTAATGACTAGTATCTCCTGAGTATGTTAAGAGGCTACACTACTTGCTAAAGAAGAATCGATTTTTAAACGATGCCTAACAAGAACCTCATGTAAGTGAAGTTCCAACTTAAATGCCATCAATACGTCAAAAATAAATGTTTTTCCCCGACCAGTGGAATAATGTGCCTGTCTGATGCATATGCGAACTGATTTTACGTGATCGCAGGTGATCGACAGGAATACCTGGATCTAAATTTCATACTTTTTGGTACTTGTCAGCTAGATGTATCTGCAATCTCAAAGGAAGTGATACACCCTATGAGACTTGAAAGGGGGAGTCTTCCACTGCTTCAATCACAAACGTTATCACTAAACTTTCTGGGTTTAATAAATTCTTAATTGTGTGAATGTTTGATTTCCAAACACAAAGTTACTAAGTTGGAATACAATTTTGTTAGAATAAGTTCATTTATATGGTAATAATATTAAATCTCAAAATATAATAAAACACAGTGTTGTACTTAGTTAATGCAGTACATCTCTGCAAATTCCCAGGCAGTGAATTAATAGTTGTACTTCCATTTTTACCTTTACGATTTTAATCCTCGCCTTTTATGTTCTCTTCTATCACAATGAATCTGTCATGTTTTTTTCACATCGGATTCGTAATTTTCAAGTATTGGTTTTGTAGGGATTTTGTTTGATAGCATGGAGGATTTCATCATGAGCTGACATCAGTTAGAGAACCACTGGAAAACCTGGGAGTACTGGACCTTTCATCTGTACGCACCCATTAAGGTTTCATTTCCCAGTGGCTCAACTGTCTACGATCTCGCCTTGTAACCAGAATGTCCTGGGTTCGGACCCCTGTGTGTGCGTACTGATGAAGAGTCACAAACTGGGACGAGTCAGCTGACCAGTACTCCTAGGCTTTCCAGGGGTTCGCTAACTGATCTCAGCTCATGATGAAATCCTCCATGGACTCGTAATTCCTATCTATCTCCGTCTCACCAACATCATGCCGTTTAAAAAAGAACGAACACTAGGCAGTAAGCTTATAGTGATGTGCAGTCATCAGAAATAAGGCTGAGGAAAGATCTAAGTTATTACAATTCGCAAACCTGTGATTCGGTGGCTTCACTTCTGATCTGTTTTCCGAAGCGAATTCTGTTCAGTGAAACATCGATATTACATGTTGCATCTGCTGAATATCGAGAAGTTAACAAAATTTTCGAATATTATTTCAGACGAAGGTTGTATACTGATTACATTTTTCTGTGAACAACCATCATTGGGCGACAGTATCAACTGGTTTGATCAAAAAATCACTAATATCATTCTAGTTTAGTCTTTATGATCAAATTAATAAAATTACAAAGTGTAATAAACACGAAAATCGGATATGGGATATAGTAAGGTGGAAGACAGATTGTAGTATTATCCTAGAGATATTTCAGGTCAAAGGTCAAATTAGTAAAATTACATGATAAATGACTGGGAAAGTTCCAGAATAATTTCTGGTCAAGGGTTAAATTAATAAAATTGCAATTGGGAATTAAAGTGTCATAATGAACAGGGGTGACAGATAAAACTCAAACAAAGTAGCATCATAACCACTGAGAAGATCTAGTGGGATCATAACTAATGTAACTAAGAATTGTTTATGCAAATACGGATTAAATATGTAGAAATAATAGAGTGACTAAATGGCAGGAAGTTTGTATATGGAAATATGTAGTGTAAATAGGGATAAAGTGGAAGTTTGTATAAGAAAGGTAATGGAATAGTCGCTATTAATTCACAGGTAATACCTTTAATACTACATATTTAATCCCTAATTATATAAACAATTATTCATCACATTACTTATTATTCCACTAGATTTTTTATCCAACCATCCTGTTTGTTTTGTTATTTCTACATTTCTAATCCTTAGCTACACAATATGTCAATCTTCTCAGTAATTATAATGCTACTTTGTTTGAGTTTTATCTATCACCCCTGTTTATTATGACACTTTAATTCCCAATTGCAATTTTATTAATTTGACTCTTGATCAGAAATTATTCTGGAATTTTCCCACCCATTTACTGTGTAATTTTACTAATTTTCCTATATACGATCTTCGTGTTTATTACACTTTGTAATTTTATTAATTTGATCTTAATGATCGAATAAATAGCCAGCTCATCACAGTAATACAACGATTTCAACAGTCAGTCACATTACTTAACTTACCAAATCACAAACACTTTTAGATAAATTTTGGTAAATTTCAGAGTTGACATCATTCAAACTTTCATCCCATTGTAGTTTTTCGTCTCCTTCGGCAAGTTCGAAACCAACCGCTGTAAAGAAAATTAGATTTTTTCTTTTATTTTCGTTCACTACATAACTGTAGTTATAATAATTATCAAATAAAAGTGTACGGGTCCACTGACATAGAATATAATATGGGGTAAATATTGAGATAAAACCAGCCTTGAAATTATTATCCTCATTAGTTTCATTGGGAAATTGTAGAAATGATGAATACTAATATGTGTAAAACTTGGGGACTGTGGTAGTGAGTAATTCCATATTAGTTTGTTTATGAGATGTATCACACAGTGAAACAGTATTATTTACTGGATGACATTTCGAACAAAATTTATTGTTCATAATCATATCGATTGTAATCACATGACTTCAAAACCTCAGTTTAATAGTTTTCTTTGTTTTCTCCTATTTGTTGTATGGGTAGTAGAAATCGTCAGATATCTGTGACAGGTGTTGAATCATTTCTATTACATGTATTTGCAGTCGATTCGATAAACCAATAAAGAATCTAAATTATCAGTAGTAATTCCATACAAGGAAGGAACCTTGAAAACCTTACGCGGAATTCTTAACAAGGCAGGAACAAAAGTGGCATTCAAACCCACAAACTCAATTAGAAACAAGCTTTGTCGGTTAGAGGATCAATTCTGTGGAGCCTTTAGAACAAAACAATTTAGTTTATCTAATACCCTGCCGCAATGATTGTCAGGTTAAATACACAGGTCAAACTAGTAGAACAGGGGCAGTTAGTCAGACTAGTAGAACATAAAAAACCTAGAAAAATCTAGATTGGTTGACCCAAATAAGATAAGAAATCTAGAGAATAGTTCAGCCATAGCATTATATGCAATCACACACAACCATACAATAGGATAGGATGACAGTTTCAAAATCTAATGTCACAGGGTATAGGGAGAGATTGATAACAGAAGCTTGGTTTGTCGAATCAACTACAAATAAATGTAATAGGAATGATTCAACACCTGTCACAGATATCTGGAAAATTCTACCACCTCTACGACAAATTGGAGAAGACAAAGAAAACTATAAGATTCAAGTTTCAAAGTCGTGTGATTATAACTAATATGATTATGAACAATACTATATTGTGTTCGAAACCTCGTCATCCAGTAAATAATACTGTTTCACTGTGTGATACATCTAATAAACCAACTAAAATGATGAATACTCTTTTCAGTCAAATCTGAGACTTCTTCAAACCAGTACAATTTTTAACAGTTTAATTCTTCGTGCTTCATTTATCATTAAAGAATGAACTCAATAGTTATAGAGTGAAATACTAATTGATATAAGACAATACATTCTCGTACACAAATAAGGCATATTAAGACAGAAAGGGAATACATTCACCCTCACATAAAGTTGCTGGCTATCAGTGACACATCCCAGAAGTGAAATCACACGGCAGTGTATAATGTCCCTAAAACTATTAGCCAAACTATGACATTTTCCTAATTCAACAGGCTAGTTCAGAACAAGTAAAAGAAAATGAATCACTGTTATTTAGCTAAAAACGCTGTGAACGTGAAGTCATCTGTACATTTGGTATTCAGCTGTGTTAGTACCTTCATATGATTACTGTGAGGATATTTTGCTGTAAAGTTCAAAGTAACCTGTAGTAAAATTATCACTAGACCTGATAATAACGCGCTTTATCGATGTTTCAACATTATGGTGAAGCCTTTTTCGATATTGAATGAAGTACCTGAGTTATCGATGATGTAAGTGTAAAAGTTGGGCACTGTAGTAGAATGTAATTCTATATTTCTTTTTCCTTCACGTTCCCCAGTGCAACATAGAGCTTCAATCAAGCTAGTGGCTTGAAGTTTCTGTAGCAGTGTTTATTTTTACAGGATGAGGTTGCTAGCCTTATGCCCAACCTTTCCACTTTACCAGCATTATTTTTGGCTTAGCGAGGTAGAGGAGTGCATCGGTGGCCAGGGATCGAACCCTGGACCAACTGCACTAATTCCATATTAGACAAGTTTATTCTAAATATCACACAGCAATTCAGTATAAACAACTGAATGACGTTTTGAGCATAAATTACTGCTCATATCATGTCGATTTTAGTCCCACTGTTTCAAATTTTTTTCTTGTACATATTTTCTCTCTGCTCTGTCTCTCCAACTTCCCTTTTTTATTTGTTGCCACTATTTATATCTCTGGTATAGGCGTTGTGTTATTTCGATTGCGCGTGTGCGGTGTTGAATCGATAAACAAAGCCTGAGTGATTAACCTCTCTCTTTACCTAATAATACTCTCAACCTGCCCCACCCTATTTTGTGATTACGTGCAACTGAATGCAATGGAATGACTTAACAGAGTGAATTGTTCTAGGTCTAGCTAAATCGATACCTTGGTAACCTGGACTTGTTGCCATGACATTCGTTACCAAAGATTACTTTAGCTACTTGACACTACATTAACTCCAATGCATAACTTTAGTGACTTATTTGCCTTCACAGCTAAGACGTAAGTCTGATTGAGATATAATTCTTGACAAACTTTTCTTACTGATAAATCCAATGTCTTCTCAGTATTGTTTATGTCAATTTCGGGAAGATAATCTCAAACCTAATCATAAGCAATTACAAGTAACTTTCGACATTATGTTTTTTCTGTAATTCAATTCGACGTCCATCTGACAAGAAACGTTAACAACTCTCTGAAAAGATTCATACACACAGAGCTTACATGGAATGGACAATTCATCAACTTTCAAAGCTTCGTGTCCCTAACCAGAAAGAGGAACCTCATACACTCTCTTTCCTCGAGGATTCGGAAGATCTCAAATCTAAAAGACTTCCGAACTAGTCCAATCCGTTCCAAAGAAAATACTTCTGCTTAATCTAGAATTCAAAGGTGATACTGAAGCAGAAATCCTTCGTAAACGGCCCTCCAAATCGCTGAGGAAAACATACTTCGCCGCGAGCCTACGACTGACGTCTTCCTGCAAGAAACTGTTCAGCCAGAACGCGAAAGATAAGTTGTTGCATTGGGCCACCTCAACGTGCATATACCAATTTACTTGCTCTTGTAGTGCTGAGTATGTTGGCCGTACCATGCGCCGACTTGAAAAACACGCTCGTGAACACCACCCAGCCTGGTTAGTGAAAGGAGGTCTAAAGCGTGTATACAGTTCAGTGACAGAACATCTGGTCAATTCAGGACATTCAGCGCCTTGCGAACAATCCTTCAAAGTAATATACAAGATTCAATAAAACCTATCAAAGGGAGTGAAATCAAGACACATGGGCATAGCTGAGGCGCTAGCTATACAAAAGCTCAAACCCACGTTTTGTATACAAAAGAAATACGTCCAACCCCTGTCCCTGCCATGGCCATCATAGACAGGTAGTTTTTTAGTAATGACCATCCCATCGCCTTTCTTATTTAAACTTCCTGTTTATTCATGTTATTTTAAGTTTTTCTTAATCTTTGTTTACACTACCATATTTTTATACCCGAACTTCATGTTTATTTCGTCATTTTACTATTTCTATATATTTAATCCCTGATTGCATAAACAATTATTCATCATATTAGTTTTTACCCAAACTTCCTGTCTAATTTGTTATTTCTACATTTCTAACCCCCAATTGCACAATATGTCAATCTTCTTAGTAATTATGATGCTACTTTGTTTGAGTTTTACCCGTCCCCCTGTTTATTATGGTATTTTAATTCCTAACTGTAATTTTTATTGATTTGACCCTTAATCGAAAATTATTCTGGAACTTTCCCATCCATTTGATATAAATACACGAATGTACAGCCTAGATGATGACTTCATCGAAAAGAAAATTTTCTTCGCTACAATCGTCTTCTGAATAATTTGTTGAAAATAACTTAGTATATTGCAAAACTTCGCGTTGTATTTCATAAGAACTATTGCTGCTCTTAATTTCACTTGATTCTTGGGTTGTTAATGAAGAAGGAAAGACGATAAGTAAATTTTAATATTAAGTGTTAATGGGACAATGTTGTACGAGATCATGTTTCTTATACAATATAAAAGTAGCAACTGATAACGAAACAGCTCTACAAAATAACCTGACTTTCCAAAATTTATAAGATTATGATAATATATGTGTAAAACTTTGGCACTTGTAATAGCATGTAATTCCATGTTGATTGGTTTATTAGATATATCACACAGTGAAACAGTATTATTTACACGATGACACAGTTTCGAACGCAATCTAGGATTGTTCATAATCATATCAATTATAATCACACGACTTCGAAACTTCAAATTTATGGTTTTCTTTATTCTCTCCTATTTGTCGTCGTTGGGGTAATAGAATTCTTCAAGTGTCTGGGACAGGTGCTTAACCATTCCTGTTACACGTGTTTGCAGCTGATCCGATAAATAAAGCCTTTGTTATCAATCTCTCCCTCTATCCGACAACATTAGATATTGAAACTGTTATCTTATCCCATCCTATTGTATGGTTGTGTGTAATTGCATGTAGTGCTATAGCTGAATTACTCTCCAGATTTCTTATCTTATTAGAGTTAACTAATCTAAATTTTGTTACCTTTTTGTGCTCTTCATGGTAAGCTCCAACATGTATATAACAGTAATCATGTACCAAGCCAACAGTTAAAGTATTATGCGCTTCACTATTAACCACAAACGACGATACTATGGGTGTGACCTTTACCCTTAGGTTAAGCAGTTCAGTCTTATAAAAAAGATACCACATGAATAGAGAACAATCGATTGTTTTATTGAAGAATAGGTATTCATCTCATTAGGTTCATTTGGTTACTTATTTAAAACATCTTACCTAATATTTGAACATTTGGAGTTGCTTTAGGTGTTACAGGTTCAGTTGTTGCATAGGTCGATTGAGATGTCATTTCTGCAATAGAAAAGGAACTATTCTAAATTTATAACCTATAAAATTTGACCAATGATAAAATCTATACACTAGTAGGTGGAATTTATTATAGATTTGCAAAAGAGTACTGGCAATAAACTTGGATATGGCGGGTTTATGACCCAACTTCTGTGTTTAACAAAAATATTCAGCGATAACAAAACAGCTTTGATCTCTGTATTAGAGATTGATAAAAATGGCGTTCATGTAAGTAAGTAATCCAAAATAAAAGCAACCAGTAATTTAATGATTTCCTGGTGAACGATGGATTGAGAGGTTAGGTAGAGAAGTAAATCATGCTTTTAATTATTAGCATTGCAATAATTCCTAAGCTATTTAAGATAAATTTAGCCTCTTCCCAAGTTGTAAATAGAAATACATGCCACGTTTTATGCATAAAATGTGAGAAATAAATAATATTAGATATCTGCTTCGTATTACCTTTGTATTCATTAATGATATCCGTTGATGACATAGCTATACTGCAAATTCACAGGGACTCAAAACTATGGATGTCTGACGTCTGACTTGTGTAGTAAGAAATGGTATGCTTACTACAAAGTCTAATTATGCATTCTTATTGTGTAAAAATCTCAGGCTTAGATGGTGGTGCCACACTCCTTGAGCCAGATGAATCTGAGTACTTGGATCAATTTGCAACTAACAAACATATTGATATAGATTCGATTTTTCAGTCAACAGAGTTGCACAAGTAAAGGTTAAATAATGCATATTCCTCTTCTTGAAAGGATAAACAACTTGTATTTAGAGTAGTACTTGATGGACTAATGAGCAAATAAACGGAGATTGCCAATAAGTGTTTTCTGTTTTATGAAAACAAGGGGAAAAACCTTATAACTGAAATTCCTGTTGGTTCAGAGAGATGAAAACTTGGTCTGTCTGATCGATAATGGTGGCAGCTAAGTTACACAAAGTCGAATTATGTCACTGAGAATAAAGTAAACTTTACCGTTTGGTGATAGATTATTCATCAAGATAGTGAAAATTAATTATTTAATTTAGGAAGGAATAATGAAATGTGTGGAATTATACAGCAAGTGAACATACCATCTGACTGAGGTTTCAACGTTGTATTTATAGGAGATGCTTCTGTTTGTTCACCGGCACTTGTCATTTTGAATTCTATGTCTGACATCGATGGTGGTAGTGGTGGGGGCGGTGGTACAGAAGATTCTTCTTTGATATTCGTAACTAAATTTATTAAAAGACATTGAGAGCATTTTATTGTGATCACTCTTATATTTATATTCCATGTTTGCTCAGTGGATAACGTGATTAAACAGTATATGTTTTGTCCTATTACTGAAGTGATCTGTAGAGGTCATCACCCAAGAAGTTACTACATCAAGTCTGATCAGATGGAAAAACTGAAAGGACTAGTTTCTGCAAAACTATTATCGGCTTTCAGAACTTACTACATTCTCTGTCAACATATATATATTCCCATCTTCCTTTACGGTTCTGAAAAGGTCAAATAAAATCCATACGAAGTTCCATTTTGGCTCATTTGATTGATAGCAGTCACCAAGTGGAAAAAAATAGTGCCTTCAAAGTTATCTATCGCATTCCATCGAGTCTTCCGAACGGAATCAGAACCCGTCTTTCACACTTGGCCGAAGCTATAGGAATTAATTCGAGAGAACAATCCTAGTCTTTATATACAAAAAAATTTGTTCTACCTCTTTCTCTCCCTTGGCCTAGGCGAATTGTATTCAAAACCCTCCCACCCTTTCTTATCATCTATCTCCTTCGTACTTTTATGATATTTATTTAAACTCTGATTATCGTTCCGTTTCACCTTTCAATATTCGACCTAATTTATTTATTTATTGAATTGCCTACATATACACAAATATACATATACTATCTTTGTTATTCTTATCACCTGGATAAACCTTACTATCAATATTTTGTTATCATTATCATCATCGTTATTAATTTCATTCAAAACATTTACCACATTATTATTATTATTTGATCCACAAAATCACCGTCATTGGTTAAAATTTTTTATATATAAATCTACGTAAATTAGGGTCAAGCCTGAAGAAGATCTAACTGAAAGCAATATTGTTCGCTTATATGTCTTGTGCGTCGGTGGCGTAGCGGTTAGGATACTCGCGACCCATGCATATGGTCCGGGGTTCGACCCCCGGCCGGCGCACTCCTTTACCGGACTGAGCCAGAAATAATGCTGGTAAAGAGGAAAGGTTGGGCATGAGGCTAGCAACCCCATCCTGTAAAAATTAAACACTGCTACAGAATCTTCAAACCACTAGCTTGGAGCCCTATGTTCCACTGGGAAAGTGAAGGAAAAATTATTATTATTATATGTCTTGATCTAACAAATATATACTCGGTGTTTTGTTACTAACAGTCAAAACAATTTTTGAATAACTTAAACTGTATAATGTGTACCTCCAGCTCTATATTCATTCTTGGCCCTTTCTCATTAATCTTATATTCATTTATAAATATTTTCGCTTTTTTGTTGCATAAACTAAGAATAACTCTCGCATTTGAGTGCTGAGATGTTTTTTATTCATTTTTTTTTAAAATTTTCTTTTTATTCCTTCACGTTCTCAGTGGAAAATAGGACTTCACGCTAGAGACTTGAATTTTCTGTAGCAATGTTTATTTTTACAGGATGGGTTCGCTAGCCTCAGACTCAACCTTTCCTCTTTACCATCTCTTATTGCTGGCTTAGCGAGGTAAAGAAGTACGTCGGCCGGGGAACGAAGCCCGGAACATGTGCGTAGTTGGCGAGCGTCCTTATCGCTGTGCCACCGACACACACACACACTATGCGTATTCTCTGATAGATTGTTTCAACTAAAAATACACTTAGTTCTTTTAATCTTTTCTACTTTTACGAGTTTGACCACAGATTGATATCAATTAGAGAACCATTGAAAACTAGCCACAGGGAGTACTGAACAGCCAGCTATTTCATCCCAGTTTGGGAATCATCGGCAGTACGCACCCAGGGATGCTTGCTCGTGACTTGCTACAGGACGGAGTTTCCTGGAGTTTTAGTGAGAAGTCGTGACCAGTGAGGTTCATCCAGTTGGGAGTGAGGTTGAATTTCCCGCCGATAACACTGATTGGTTGTGGCCCTAAAATCACGAATTGGTAGAAGTTAGAATTCATGCATTGGCTATTGGACTGGGTCCCAGTGACTGAATCGTATACGAGCTTGCCTGGTAACCGGAAGGTCCTAGGTCCGAACAATATTGGGTGCGTGCTTCCAATGATTCCCAAACTAGGATGAAACAGTTGAGATGTCTTCATGCACAATTATAGCTAGAGGTACACAACAAAGTGTGATATTGTTCACGATAACTTTTACGGGCTAATCCTTATCTGTATTAGTGAAATCAGTCAACTTACTTTCGCTGGCATAAATCAATCTCTAATATTTTTTTCACTTTAAAAAGAATGACTACTTAAATAAGTGTGATACCTTACAAAAAAAAGTAACTATCAGAACCTAAAGCTCACATAACTTACTAAATTCAGAATAGAACTTTTCTGAAGTTATGAAGGGAACGCTCTCGACCTGAAAGTTACTTATAAAAAGTTTAGTTTAACGATTCAATCGAAATTTTCTTTGCTTCCATCATATTCGTCTGGAGCAGTAAAGTAGTAGTTGTGATAGCAAACAAACTGTGAGTTCGTAGGTAGACTAAGAATAACCGACAGATAATTGTACACATTTTTCGGCTTCTTACTATTACCTACTGATAAAATAAATAGTAAGCATAAGTAAATGTCCATAAACAATTGTTTGAAGTTCCTTGAATCTTCACTTGTAGAAAGATTTTCTGTCAACATTATCAAGTTATTCATTCTTAAGCATACATAGACCCACTTAAAACGTAGTGTAAGCTGGACATTTTGGATAAGGCATTCATTTATACAAAAAGAGTGAAGAGATTAGGTAAGAAATTTGAGAACCAAAAGAGTTACAACTTAGCATCAGTTTTAATTTTCCAAAAATTAATGACAACTAGCTTTGATAAGTCAATTTTGTTGTATTACATGTTGTGTATTTACTAGCTGTAAATCAGCTGAAGCGGACACTTCAATTTTGTAAAATTAATGAAAACTGTAGACAAACTGTAATTTAAAAAAAAAGACTTAACTGAACGACTTATGTCGAAAATCCTCAAAAATGACTAATAAATATCACTAGTTAAGCTGTAAGGGGAATAAGTTGAGTTAGTCACCATTTCCTTTCATATTGACATTGCTAAATACACTCATTCAATACTAAGGAGTCGGATATATGTCTGTCATATCCAGGACAGGTTTACATTGACTACGACTAAGGCCCCATTTTCAATGTCATGGTAAAATGTAGTAATCTAAGAGTAAATGGAGTAGAACTATAAATGCCTAAGACTAGAGCTAGGATTAACTTGAAAACCTACTTTATTGTTTCTGAAATATTAGTGCAGTCCGAGTCATTTACTAGCTCAGTTCCCAAGATCCTAGTGAACTCAGACCACTCAACCCCACTAGAGTCCTTTTTTAAAGTTATCCACATGATAAGGCAGCATAATTCAAAGAGTGTTAGGCGTCGACACTTTTGTGTGCATGTGTGACAGAGGTGTCATCAATTCGTCGATGTAACCCCATAGTGTGTGTGTGTACAGAGAAGGTTTGTACAGTTTCTTATTCTACCACAGTTTCAAACTCTTTTCTACTTGTTTACTCCTGTTTCGGGTAAGTAAATCATTACTGACATTCATACAAATCAGTTTTGTATATTTTACTTATAAGAGTTTTGTTCTCAGCTTCTTCATACGTGTTAGAAAGACACTCAGCTACCTTGCTTCTCATCACATAACAGTTTAAACTCCATCAAATTCCAAGCCTTCACCTCCATAAAGTTAGTAATTACTAAGTAATTTCTTTTTGTCATCACAAACCACTAATGACTAAGTGTACTAATTCTGTCACCATTATTATTATATCATTTAATTCTTAGCGGAACATAAGGCTTCAGCTGCACGTCTTTATTGCCTTCGGTTTTCTGACAACTTTTTCACCCCTTTCCAAGTCTGTCCACATGCTTTCATCTCCTCTTTACATGACCTCCTCCAAGTCACCCTTGGACGACTAACTTGCCGCTTCCCTTTCGGCTTCCACTAGAGCAATGGCTTGTCTAGTGGTGTCACTTGATGGTTTCCTCAGAGTATGGCCAATCCATCTCTATTTCTTCCTGCCTATTTGTTTCGCAATCGGTTCCTGGTTGGTTCGCTCCCAGAGATCCCTCCTTGTTGCTGATCTTTTCTGGCCGGCCATCTGATCTTGAGTATTGATCGAAGACGGCTGTTAATGAAGGTCTGTAGTTTGTTTCAGATGCTCTTTATGACGCGCTGGCCAAGTCTCTGATCCGTATAGCAAGTAGCACTGACTTCACATTGGAGTTGAAAATCCGGATCTTATTTTTGATGCTGAGTGCTGTTGACCTCCATACAGACTTAAGAGTAATGAGAGCTTGTCTTGCTTTTCCGGTTCTGGCTTTGATATCCTCGTCAGTTCTGTTCGCCTGTAGTTGAAACGATGCTTCCCAGGTAGATAGGTAGGTGAAGGAGGTTGTTTCTTTCAGGTTCCTCCCATTTATACTGGTTGTGGTCTGTTGTTGTTGCTGTTGGCCAGGAATCTTCGTCACCTCTGTTTTCTCTATATTCACCTGAAGTCCTATCTTCTCTGGATGCTTCTTCTGCCAGCTTGTTGCTTTTCACTTGTATATCTTCCAGTTTGTTGGGAATCAGACATATATCATCGGCGAAATTCTGTCATACAATCCTATTACTCAGTGGTAAATTGTTATGCGTTTTCGGTAAACAGCAGTTTTTGAAGATGACTTCGCTGATGGGGAAAAAAATCCTTCACTGAATCGTCTTTTGTTTTCTTCATGATACAATAGATATTTTCATTTTCCTTGCTTTAGCCTATTATGTTATTTTGTATTTATAAACGGTTGACATTACGCAGTTTGGTTTACTGAGGGTGTTAACTAACGTCATTTTGCACCTTTACTTCCACAAACACTGATCCTGTAAGCAAAGTGATTAGCTATGAAAGCTTCTTCAATAAACATAGTTTAATCTTATGTAGTATCTCATATCTTCATATATTATAATTATTACTCCTATAGGTTCCGAGTGTAACTTAAGGCTTTAGCAGCACATCTGCAGTTTACTCTATTCTCTACAGCTCCATTAAATTGGCCCCATGATTGCCTACAAGCTGTCAGCTCCTCTTCAAACGACCTCCTTCAGGTCACTCTAAGGTTCATTCATTGTTCCCACTCAAGGCCCATATGAGAACCTGGAGCACAATATGATAACTTTCTGTGTCACTTTACTTTGAGCTCAAATGAAGGTGGAGTAGCATTTCCACTTAACCCTATTACAAATATCTTTGGAAAACTTATACAAGATTCCGTTAACCTTTCAAATGGAGTGAAATCAAGACATCTGGGATTAGCTGAAGGGCTAGGAATAGAAAAATTTAAACCAACGCCATGTATCCAAAAGAAATACATTCAACCTTTGTCTCCACCATGGACATTCTAGCTAACCTATTTCCTCAAGAAAATCATTACTATCCCAATATGTTTTTTCATCCGAACTTTCCTATCTGTATTACATAACTTCATCTTGTTATTTGTTATATTTTGACTTCTAAAAGGAAACAATTCTAAAACCTTATCACCTCCTAGTGCGTCGGTGGGACTGTGGTAGGACGCTCTCCAATCACGCGTGTGGTCCGGTATTCGAGCTCCAGCCGACGCACTCCTTTACCTCACTAAACCAATAATAAGACTGATAAAGATGGAAAGTTGGGCATGAGGCTGGCAACGTCATTCAGTAAAAAAACGAATACCACTGCTACCGAAAAAAACAAAAAGCCAGCTTCAGGCCCCATGTTCCACTGGGAACGTAAGGGAACTGTGTGTGTGAGCGTGAGTATTACCCCCTTACCATATATTCTCGAACGTACATCCCAGTTGATACCTCCGTCAAAAAAAGTAACTTTTTCTTCGTTGTAATCTTCTGCTTGTCCTTTTTCTTATCATCTAACAGGCATATTGCACTGTTTAATTCATAAATCACTTTATAAACAAAATGTATATAAGTTATTCATTTACACATGTATCATAACCAAATGTAAAAGGAGAATCGTATACTTACGTGTTAATGAAAAATTACCACTGAAACTAAATCCTAAATGAAATTTCTTATCATTAACTATTGCATCAACCAATTTCTTGCTGCCATCTATAAGTGTATTCGATAGATTTTTAGGCGAAAATAATGAATTGATAGCTTGATTAAATGATATTAATGCGTTCAAGAAAATAGAACCTTTGGAAAATTGTAAGAATATACATTTTGGCCGTTGTAACTCTTGTATATGTGTACGCTGAAAGCTTTCTAATAACTAATTTAAAAAAATAAAGAATGAAGAGGAATTGAAAGCAGAAAATAATAGGTGTTTTCGTAACAAAAAAAAAGCTTAGGGTATATTAAAACCATATTAAAATTGAATAGATAAGAAATTAAAAAAAAATTTATTCGGTTAATCCGAAGTTATTAACCACTGGGAAAATAAATAAACCATTTTAGAGTAAATCTCTATGTATGACCGAGCAAAACTCAGTAAATCTCAGGACCATTAAATGATAGGAATCTACACAAGGATATGACGAATTCCAGTGTTGTGATGAAGAACTATGCTTAAGGAAGTGGTACACTACTTTCTTTCAACTGCATCTACTGACAGTATTCGAACTAAAATTGACTGAGACAGGAACTTGATTTTTCGTGCTCACTTAGGAACATCTACCAATGTAGCTAAGTAAAGGGGTAGTAAAAACCATCAACAGCTCCATATTACCCCACCTAGTCCAAACCGGCTGCTAAACCAGCCAGAATTGAAGAATCCTCCTCTATCATCTACCGGGAACTAAACAGATTGCCAGGAACATCCAGGTACCGCATACTCCAAACAGCAAAGGCTGTCGCGATTCGCGTGAAACAACTAGTGCTTTATGTGCGAAAAAAGCAAGTCCAGCCACTACTACTACCCCTGGTCGGCCTTCAGTGGAGGCTATAAATGCACGAATTAGTATTGTTATCTTTCCTAATTTGCCTTTCTGATATTGAGTGTGTATTGTTATGTGGATGCAATCAAACTGACATCACCATTTATATCATTATTGATTCGATGTTATTTAAACAGTATTAATGTTGTTAATGGCACTAATTCATCCACTATTATGTGTATATAAAACTGTCGAACCTGATGAAGAAGAGTTTATCGAGAAGAATATTCTTTGTTCAGTAACCGTTCTTTTGAAACAGTATCTTTGAAAAAAATAATAAAAGATTAATAAATACCCCAAAGTGTGAATAGAATGATGTTAAATATTTGTTTAGGCCATTTGATTTGTTCAAAGTCAGTTAATATCAGTCACTATTATCTTTTCCAAAAAGCAGCTAGCCAGCTTATATGATGAAAAGCTATATGTTAAAGAGACTAACTATCCTTTTAATTATTTAATTCATATTTAGATTTGCCAGTCGATTGATTCTACCGAAGTGGTCGGTCTCAGGTTGATATCTCCGTCGGCTTCTTTTGCATGCAGATGCTTCGACGGTGTCTGGGCATGTAATTAGAAGTTAATTGGGGGATGCTGACTATCAGTGGAATCCAGGATGCACCTTTCATCCTCGAACCTTGGTGGGAACATCATCATTCACTGTGGAATGCAGATGCATCCAGATGACGATCCCCAAATAGGACGAAATGCGCATCCTGAATACCACTGCTAGTCACCATTCAACAATATCCTTTTAATGCCTATCAGTGACTGGTTTGTATATAAACACTGCCTTCAGCTTTTGAATTGTTTAACTTGCTATACTGTAAAAAGATTCATCAAAGAAATGATTCTTCTTATGTCTACCGATAATTCATACTTTTAAATTTATACTGTCTGTTGTTAGTGTGATGATTTTTTTATGACGGCCCGCTTAAGTCACTGGGCTACCTGAATTTCCTATCCATCAACATACATCGTGTTTACTCCATCTCATATTGTCTCAGTGATCTAATTACCACAATTGGTCACAACTCGTACTTGCACACTATTTCAGATAAGTTTCTGCCTACTACTAGGAGTTTATTCGAAGAAAATGGAGGAAGAACAGCTTCGAGTGGAACAATATGGCTTCAGATGGCATATTATTGATAATTATAACATTTGAAGATTCCGGACAAAGAGTAAGTATCTTGTAGTGAAAGTCACTGGAAATTCTATATATTGCGTATAAACGCATTTTTTTTTAGAATAATGCTATTATTATTATGAATATTTGGTAAGTGCTCAGAGACTTTTGATTTCATGCTTACAAGACCAGATATCAGTTGATCATTCACAATGACCCTTCATAAGAACCAGTTCCATAAGAAAACTATTCGCAGTCCTTCACATATCTAGATAACTAAGAACAACTATCATGCATTTTAGGTATCAATCAGCTTTCTAGTGAGTTTTTGCATTTTATCAGGTTGAATAAATTGGGTATAGCTTCTTTACTTTATGCAATAGATGGGCTTTGGTTTAGTAGGCCCGTATAATTTCATGTAGATTGCATATATGTTTATTAAATTTTCCGAATGGTTCAAATATATCTCTATGTGTAATTATGTCTTAAATTAGTTTATCCTGAATTAATTGGTTTTTGACTTAACTAATCCTCTCGTAGTACTTTTAAGCAAACATTTTATATATAGGTCAAGTAGTTTAGCTGGCACACCACTGAGTTAATAACCTTGAGGCTATTTGCTCGAATCTTACTATGAATGAGATTTTCACTTTTCCTGCAACCATCATCTATTGATTCATTAATATTCAAGTATTGGTTTTGTAGGGATTTTGTTGGATTGGCTGAGGGATTTCATCATGAAGCTGACATTGGTCAGAGAACCACCAGAAAACCACCTGAGAGTACTGGACAGTTGTTTCGTTCTGGCTTGGGACTCTTTAGCAGTACGTAACCTCCGGGGTTCAAACACAGGACCTTCTGGTTACAAGGCGAGCTCGTAGAGCATTCATCCACTGGGACCTTATCCAATGGCCAGTGCACGAATTCTAACTTATGCTAATTTATGACATAGTGTGACCACTTCGCAACGTCTTCTTCAATAAGTTACTGCCTCACCTTCAACCTGCTATGCGCTACTGGACATTTATAGTCTGGCAACCCACAGGTGAAAAAATTAAGTCTTTTACGTCATTCTGTAACACTTCAGTGGAACACGGAAATTTAGTAATAGAGGTTTTCCAAACGATTCAGTTCCATACTAATTTGAGTGCCTACAAGTTAATAAATAGCACAGTGATGAGGTATTTATGAATATTGTGGCATTGTAGGAGCTGAAATGTGCAGTTAATTTTTAAAAAAATAAATACACGGTAATTTTAAAGCTTATTGAATTACGCGGTTCAAAGTCAAGTCAAGTCTGGAAAGCACTAAATAGGTGGATAATAGCAACTGAATGGGATTTTAGTGCATCTCAAGTTTACTGTCAACTTCAGTTATGAGCTTCAAATATTTAGATATCAAAATTCTCATAATATTCGCTAGGAAGTGTCAGTCGTGTTGATCTACCGAAAGTGTAATAAAAACAACCAGAGAGCGAAAAATATCTGCCTTCTTTATAGATTACAAATATTACTTACAAATTCACAATAACTGGTTGACAAAATTTTATAGCTCTCCGATTCTGGATCAGTTAATTCCTCGTTCCATTTCAATGGAGAATGAATTCGACTTTTAATCATTATCGTTTGTTTATCTAAAAAACATGAGAGATAACAATGTTACTTATAACAAATATCAGTAGTTAAAAGTGACTATATGTTATTTTTTCAGCATAGTTAGGCATAAACTAACCTCGGATGAAATGAAGAGATTCTTGGCAGCTACTTCATGTAATTTCGAGATTAATCAGATTGACACACACTCACAAATAAGTACCTTAAACCACCAAAAGCTTTCAGATTTCCAAGTGATCATGTTACCGTTCAATGTTTTGGAATCTAATGGTCCAACTATTTTTTATTTATTTTATTTTTTATTTATCAACGTGGTGGAATACTTCTGAGGAATAAATCACATTCAGTGACTGGTAACCTCATGACAGTATCCCACATATTATTCAAGAACGTGGATGCTAATTTATCCTGCTGATTTGTTTCCTCTGAAATCGATATAATGTCAGGACATCACCTTCAATTTCAATAACCATGACAAAATCCTCTCCTTCTAGAAGTTCATTTCTTGCATAAAACTGTGGACTTTCTCTACAATGTACAACACTTCATCGTCTTCTGACGACTTTTTATACGCAGTATTGTATCTTTAATATGCAATGAATGTAAAAGATCAATAAGGGCTTAAGGACTACTATCCTTCAATATCTAAAATTTGAGTAGTATAACAACTTGACATATCTTGTCTGTTGGTGGCTGTCACTGAAGTTCAAGACTTTCATTTCGTCCTATTTGACACTGACATTTCCGAAGCATCCTTACCCAACAAGCTATTCTCGTATTTAATAACCAGCACATAAGTCTCAAATAAGATGAAGAAAATACTGTGTATTTCACTGCTACCCAACACTAAATCGAAAATCGGGAAGGCGAGAAACACATTCCTCAACCAACCTGAAACCAATCTGAAAAACCAATCGTCGTCACTCAGCCAGCATCAACAACAAAATCCAGTGGGATTTTCAATACAAACGACGTCAAGTCAGTCAGTTCTTCCATACGGATCAGAAACTTGGCGGCGGGTCACAAAGAATATTTCCAACAGCCTGTTGCAGACCTTTATCAATCAACAATTGTCATTGCTGGATCTATACTGAAGATCAGATGGCAGCGCCGGAAAGAATCACCAACAAGAAACTATGGAAAAAACAAAGCAAGAACCAATCGCCAGCCAACAGATATGCAGGAGAAAGTGGAGATGGATTGGACATTCACTCGCTGAGGAGGCCGCTGGGTGACATCGCGCGTCAGGCCATTGGTCGAGTGGAACCAGGCCGAAAGGGAAGCGGTGAGTGGGTCGTCGGTGCAAGGATGACACTGAGGAGACGGTGTGAAGAGGAGCTAAAACAGTATGGACTAACATGGATGCAGGTGAAAAGTACAGCAGAAGACAGAAGCGAGTGGAGACATGCAATTGAAGCCTTATGTTCCACTAGGAATCCAAGGGAAGAATAATAATGATATATACGAATATGCAAGCAAAATGCCTTCGGTTCAGTAAAATTTATCACCAGAATTTCCATGTACAGGGTTTAATGTAATATGATTAGATTCATTTAAATGCAGCCTAAGAATAATTTGCTTAAGAGAACTTTGAACTTGAGTTTCTTTTGGGTCCACTTGTAATTCAGTAGTAATGTGTTTGGAGAGTAGTTATGTACTATGTACAGAAGAGGAGGTCACCTTGAAATTTTAGTGGTGTAAAGTTACATTATTTTATAATAAGGTCAATACATCTATTGGACACTGATTTAATATTGTGAAATCAGAATTTTTTCTCCGAAAAAATAGCCATCGGAGGATGAAACTTGTGCTGATGATTCACTAAATTTAGGTGTAACATACTTCCATAACTGAAGATTAACTAAAAAGAAAATTTTTCCTTTAATGATTTTGTACTTCACAGAAAGATATAGAAATGGACTGTTAAATTAATCACATCTCACATCAACTTCAAGAATGTATTTGTTTTCTTATAACTCTGACTATACCATCATTATTGGCTAAGTATGCTCCAAATTTGCAAGTTCGCCATTAGTGTTGAATTTTGAGTACTATAAAATATTTCTGTTTAAATAAAAGTAGAACTAGTGTATTGTGGTTGAGTGTAATTTCATTGTAGATAAAATGTATTTTGATAAAGTCTCACAGTCTTTGTTATACAGTCATATTTATGGGTGACCACGTTTCGAGCACAATTTATTGCTGCTCATAATCATACCAAGATTACTCCTCACACAACTTTCTAACTTCCTTTTATTTCATTCCACTACTTTTCATCGCTTGACCTGATTGCTATTGGGATCATCAGTATCCCCTATAGTAGAAGATATCTTTAATGGACAGCTGCAAAATACACTTAATCCTACTCCAAAGACATGGTGGAGATAAGTGGATGACACTTTCACACACAGTGTCAAAAACGGAATATATCTCTAGCTTCCTGACACATATAAACTCACTAGTAGAGGGAATAAAATTCACATTCGAATCGAAAAATGAACAAGGAGAATTAATTATGAAGTAAGATACTAAAATTAAACGCATAGAAGAAGGTAAAGTGCACACTAGTGTTTATAAAAAGTCAACTCATTCTAATATTGGATATTTAGACTTCAATTTATCTCATCCGTGATCTGTAAAGTCTGGCTCAGTTAAGTGTCTAACAAACCAAGCAGTAGCACTAAGTACTACAACAAAAAGACCTAAAAGTTGAAATAAAAAACATAGAAGAAACATTGGTGCCAAATAACTATCCTATAAAATTCATTAGGAATATCAAAAAAGGTGAAAAGCAAAATAAAAATAATGGCGAGACTAATAATGATGACATGAATGAGAGAATATAAGTTTTACCCTAGGTAGGATTCTTAATAAATCAGAAATCAGAGTGGCATTTAAAGCTACAAACTCACTTACTCACACATTCACTTAAGGACAAGCTGGGTAGGTTGAAGCACCCTGTCGGTTGACCCGATTAGACAAAATCATATAATTTACAAAATACCTTGAAATGAGTGTGAGTGAGGTCAAATACATAGGTCAAACTAGCAGATGCGGGGTGGGTAGTCAGATTGTGAGAACATAAGAATTTAGTTAAGGTTAGAACGATTGACCCTTACAAACGAAGATAAGTAATTTAGAAAACAGCTCAGCACTACATTTCACTGCATACATTAACACACAACCAGTCAATAGTGTGGGACCGAGTCAAAATCCAGAAAAAGTAATACAGGTAGGTGGAGAGAGAGGTTGACTGCTGAATCCTTGTTCATCGAATCTACACCCAACACGTACAATAGGAACGACTCATCACTCACACCGGAAATATGGAAAATACTACAACCGATTAAGTTAAGCCATGAAAAATAATAGAAATCATATAAACGAAGTTAGAAAGTTGTTTGAGTGAGTACCTTGATATGATGATGAGCAGTAATAAATTGTGCTCGAAACACGATCATCAGTAAATATTTTTTCCTTCACGTTCCCCAGTGGAACATAGGGCTTCAAGCTAGTGGACTGAAGTTTCTGTAGCAGTGTTTATTTTACAGGATGAGGTTGCTAGCCACATGCCTAACCTTTCCTCTTTACCAGCTTTTATTGCTGGCTTAGCGTGGTAAAGGAGTGCGTCTGTGGCCGGGGATCGAACCCCGGACCATGTGCATGGTTGGCGAGCGTCTTATCGCTATGCCACCGACGCATTAGTAAATATTACTGTATAACAAACGCTGTGAGACTTTATCAAAATAAATTTTACCTACAATGGTATTTTTGTTGAAGTCTTAACAAGCTGATATCAATGGAAATTTTTAAACGTCAGTATTTCAGCTGGAACCATTGTCTGTTAACCTGAAATCACAAAGATTATTTAAGTTAAGAGTTTGATATGTCATGAAACCGCGACTGCAGTCTTAATCTCATAATGTGAAATCGACTGCATTACGTTGACACATTTACTTATATTTTCCTTAGGATTTTGAACCTACTTCTGCTTAATAATATTTAGTATTTTATTTATTGGATTATTCACCTAACTCTCCTAGTTTTCACCTTGTGAAAGTTGATGAAAATAAGTAAATTCAATATTCAAGTGTTGGTTTTCGAGGATTTCATTAGTTTCTGGATTTCATCATGATCTAATATAGGTTAGAGAACCATTAGAAAAACATGGAATACTGGACAGCTGTTTCGTTCTGGCTTGGGACTGACTCTTCATCAGCTCTCATCCACTGGGGTTCGAAACCTTCAGATTACAAGATGAGCTCGTAGACCATTAAACCACTGGGACCCGATCTAATGGCCAGTGCATGAATTACAACTTCTGCTAATTCATAGTGTGACCACTAGCCAATGTCACTGGCGGCGAGTATTTGGCCTCACACTCGACCTACTGTACCCTACTGGTCACGACTGCTCACTAGAAACCCAGGTAACTACCTAACTACATAGGACCAGTCATTAGATCCCACTTTTACTTTCTTTTACAAGGCAAGTGAATCCTATCCTCTCGATTGTTGATTCCCCCTAATGTGCCCCATATAATAAATACCTATCATTTATTCTAGTTGTATATGAACAGTGATATTAAATGTTTTCTTACATGGGCACTTGGATTTTAAACTTAACATCTTAACATAAGTGGTTATTCTACATTTTGGGTTAAAGACGTATCATTTGTTTAATTCAATATTAGATTTTCCGGTCCATTAACTAGACCGAAATACTCGGTTTCAGGTGGACATGTCGGCTGCTTGTGTAGATGCTTCGATGATAACTGGTCATGTAACTTGAAGTCAACAGGTTGATGGTGACTTTCAGTGGAATCCAGGATGCGCATCTCGTCGTATTTAGGATTCGTCATCTGGATGTACCAGTGATCGATAGTGTTCCCACCGACGCTCGAACGCCAAAGCGTTATCTACTAGACCACTTGGTCCACGAGGAGATAACGCTTCAGGGTCGGGAAGGCAGGTACATCCAGTGATGAGTCCCAAAACATGACGAAGTGTGCATCCTGGATTTCACTGCTAGTCACCATCAACCAACTAATATATCATTTGGTTTCCAAAATCTTATCATTAAAGTGATCTGACCGATGAAGACATATATATATATATATATACTTGTGTAATGTCTAAAGATAATTTGGAAAAGTAAGAACTGTGCAGGTTTGAAGCGATGCGACATATCGATTTTATGTTATACGAAAGTCTAGACATTTTATGTTCAACAAATCTTTAATACTTCTTAGATTCGAATGGGAGATCATAGAACATTGGCTTTCTGAATACTCAAAATAAATCAAATGACATAAAAAAACGGTGACTACACGAAAAATCAACTCCATCTTCCTTACCATCACAAGTATCCTATTCATTAGGTTAAAATATCAGAGTTACGTAACTCAAGGAAACAAATACACTGACTTACCATTTAATGAAATTTCATTTAACTTCTGTGAAACATCTCGTTTCGATCGAAATAATAAATTTGAAACTTTTTTAGAATTCGGAACTCCATTTTGAAATAAATCATAAGTTTTAAGGATTGGAAATTCTCCATTTACTTCAAAATCGATCTCTGGGATATGAATAGTCTTCAATAATTGTTTCTGTTGACTAGTTAACTGTTCTTTAGTATAAACATTGTGTAACTTTAATGTATCAGAATTGTAATTTATTTCCTTTGTGGATGTTTGATTTAGAAGTATCGCCACAAAGGATAGGCATAAAAATATATCATGTTTATTCGAAGTGCTTATCATTTTTTTCTCTCAACAGAATGCCTGTTAAAGTGAAAATAAAGAACGCATTATATTTTAAGTTAGTCTTTTTTTTAAAAGAATTTTAATTAAACATTCATATTATTATATTATATTACTGTTACCTTTAGTTCCTAGCGGAACATAAGACTTCTGTCGCACGTCTCCATTACGTTCGGTTCTCTGCCAAACTTTTCACCTGGTTCCACATCTGCCCACATGCTTTCATCTCCTCTTTACATAACCTCCTCAAGGTCACCTTCTCACTGACAACCAACTCACCGCTTCCCGTTCGGGTTCCACCTGAGAGATGAGGTGGCGTGTGATGTCACTCACTTGATGGTTTGTTTTCTCACAGTATGGCCAATCCACCTCCCTTTCTTCCTGCATATTTGTTGCACAATCAGTTCCTGGTTGGTTCGCTCCCAGAGATCCCTCCCTGTTGCTGATCTTTTCTGGCCATCTGATCTTGAGTAGAATTGAGCTAAGACAGCTGTTGATGGTGTATAGTTTGTTTGAGGTGCACTTCATGACACGCCAAATCTCTGATCCATAAAGTAGCACTTATTTCACATTGGAGTTGAAAATCCGGATCTTATTTTCCCTACTGAGTGCTGTTGGTCTCCACACAAACTTGGTGATGGTAACGAAAACTTGCTGTGCTTTCCCGAACCTCGCTTTGATATCCTCGTCATTTCCGTCCACCTGTATTTGAAACGATGCTTCTCAGGTAAGTAAAAGTGTTTACTTTTTTCAGATTTCTCCCGCTTATGTTGATTGCTGTCCGTTGTTGTTGATGTCGCCGTAAAGATTAGTATTAGCGGACAAAAATGCTTTCTAACAACAATATGTCAGTAGTATATATCTTGTTATTATTATTTTTTTCCATTTTAAGGTGTATACAACTTCATTTCTGTAAAGGGAAATGTTGAGCTTATGAAAACATTTCCTACTGGTAAAGTGAATGACATTAACAACTGTTTAAATAGTCCCCAATCACTTTTTGAGTACTTTTAAAACGATTTTACCTCACTAGTAAATATATGATTCCTACTTCTGGTCTAAATAGCAAAAAGTACTGTTAAAGCCTTATTTCATATTGGAAGCATAGTTACACATTCGTAAGAAGATTGCTTTTCATTTGGTACTTGATACTTTATGGGAATATTCCGTCGAATCATAATCAAAGTTCATATAAAGTACACAGGATTAGTTTGAAGAGCTTGAATGCTTACACGCAGATCTGGATAAATATATTCGTCAAAACAGTTTATTTATGTATGAACATATTGAGAATCATTTTGGGTTGAATGAAATTCTGATCTCCTAATTCCATCAAATCATTAATTACTAACTTTTTTCTTATACAAATGTAATAGGAAATAGGTTTTCATTGAGTGTTTTTCATTATCCACTGAAATCAGCTAAAATAGTTTGGATACAAGAATACTGAAGAGTGGATGTCTTTTTCCTTGGAACTTTCCATCACTGTATAACAAAGTACCATTTCATGACAGTGTTAATTCATGTTGTTATTCCGTTAACCGTTAAAATACAATGCAAAATGTTTCCCAAGTTTTCCTAAATTCAGATACACAGCAACCATTGCCCAGTGTTATTACGGATGCTTATCTATATGAGAGAGGTTTACCCCAGCATTATTCAAGTTCATATATTTTATATTCAATAATTCCACCTTAGAACATCTGATAGAATCCGGACACCAAGCTACACCCTAAACAAACTTCAAAGTCGTCTACAGAGTAAGAAGTAGTCTTCTTAAAGGTGTACGAATCAGACTTCTTCAAACTGCAGAAGCAATGGCGATTCACTTGCTAAGTCCTGAACTCTGCATACAGAAGAAGTTCGTTCAATTACTACATTTGCAATGGACGTAATCTATCTTATTACCTGAAGAGTAGATTCTACCTAATCTTTTTCTCTTCTGTCTCTTCATTAGTATTATTTTGTCTTCTTAATTGTAATATTTTGCATTTTCAACTTTCTTGTTCTCCACCCCACCCGATTTAATTTCTATACCTCACTATAACTGTTACTGACTTGACCAACGCTCAATTTCCAGTCATTTGTGTTACGTCATCCAACTTATTTGCTCAATTTCAGTTCTAATTTGAATGGCATTATTCTCTACCCCATTTCTACTTAGTCTCTACTTGTAATTACCTCTGTTGCTACCCTGACCTAAGTTGAAACATTTTAGTCAATTATATTACGTCATCTAACTTACTAACTAACTCAATCTTACTTTAGTTGCTGTCTGATTAACCTTGTTTCTATATTAGATCATTCTTGTATTACCTGATCAATTACCTAAACTTGACAAACCTCATGTACACACACACACACAAATGATTATATATAAATGCGATTTACAGCTATCTGAATGAATTCGCCGGAAAGATTCTCTTCGCAGAACGTCTTCTCTTTTTCACATAACCATTTATTAATAAATACTTGTCGAAGTGATCAAGAAACACATGACCACTGTATTCGAACACGCAGTGAAATAACTTGCTCATCACTAATAAGTTTTAATTTGATGTACAAAACTTCTTAATTATATTAACAGCTACTAGTTTAGAAGTGACTCTTAACTGACTAATTCACTAATTTTTACCACGCATATTATGTAGTCTCTTCTTAAATACAGGCATAATCATGACCGTATTCTACTAATATTATTATTATTGTACCGTTGAGTTCCAAGTGTGTTTCAACAACACATCTCCACTTCATCCTGTTATATGCGGTCCCCTTTAGCTAGCCCCGTGATTCACCATGAGCTTCCAACTCTACCTCATACGATCTCCTCCATGTTACCCTCTAATCTACACCCAACTCATCTCCCATTCGGGTTCTCCTCGAGGGCTAACCTGACGTGCGTTGTCACCCGACGGTCTCTTCAGCGTGTGTCCAATCCATATCCATCTGTTGAGCAAAATTTTCTTGGTCGGTTCGTCGCCAGAGTTTCTTCTTGCTAATTTTTTTGGCAAAGAAGGCATCTGTTGATAAATGTCTACCTCTTTTCATGACGCACCAAGTTTCTGACCCATATAATAGAACTGAGTAACTTGACATTACTGTTGAAGATCCGAATTTTGTTCTTTATGTTGAGTGGAGCAGATTTCAATACTGGTTTCAGAGTTATGAATGTCTCAGCTGCTTTTACCATCCTGACAAGCTCCGACATCTTCATCCATGCTGTCGCCTGAAGCGATGCTGCCCAAATAAGTGAAATACGTGACCTCTTTCTAATTTATTCCGTTGATAATGACTGGTACTGGTTGTTGTTGGTCGTCGGGTATCTTCGACTTCTCTGTGTTCACTTGAAGTCCTGTCCACGCTGCTTCTTCTGACAGTAGGTTGGTTTTCTCCTGTAAGTCCTCGAGTTTGTATGACATTAGACGTAATACGTCCACGAAGTTTAGATCTTCTACAGTCTTCTTAGTGATCCAACGTAATCCTGTTTTCTCGCTCCCCACAGTCTGAAAAATAATCCATTTCACCACAATTAGGAATATCATTGGTGATAATAGCCAGATAGTCTTAATTTACTCCTATATGCACTTCAGATGCTTCTTTCGGTTCTTGTGTGTGGATCTCTTGACATGTAACGCTGTCAAACAGTCGTTGTATAAGGTTGATAAAAGTTTGGGGCGATCTATGTTGTTGAAGCACTTTCCAAACTACTTCAACATCAACGTCGTCTAAGGTCTTTTCAAAATCGATAAAACTGAGATAGAGATTTGACTACCATTCTATGCTCTTTCTGATGATGACACGTAGAGTTGTAATTTGTTCAGGAGGTGATTCGCTTTTCCTGAATCTAGCTGTTCCCGTCAAAGTTCTGTATTAAGAGCATCTTTTAGAGTCTCCAAGACATCACGACTTAGTTCTTTCCTTGTCATAGACAACAGTATGATCCCACATCGCCCTTCTTTGGTAGTCTGATAAGGTAGCCTTCTTTCCAAATGTTTTCGCAATAGTGGCGTGAGCGTATCATCTTCAGTCTCTGGGTCTATTTTCAGTGCTTCGGGGGGAATTGTGTCTGATCCTGGTGCCTTCCTGGACTTCAGCGGCTTCATTGCATTTAAAGACTTCTAATTTTTCTGGAAGATTAGTATCTTCTGACACTTCTGAGGCTTTTAGTGGTCTGTTATGCTGAAGACTAATAAATTTTAGCCAGGTTCACAAAGACTTCATGAAACAGTAGTACAAACCTTTTCCACTGAACCATGAGATCTAAAAATCAAATGCATCCTCATCAAATTTAAAAATATTTTAGATATTTTTACATTTAATGCTGAGCTTTCAAATAACAATATCCATAAAAAAATGTTTCAAATTTACTTTTGTGGTAATGAACTACTTATATACGTATCTTATAATTAATACAGACCAATACATCTTTCCACTTAAAATTCCAACTCCAGTTACATAAAAGTTGTTTATTTTTATTTTTGACTTTTATGAATCATTGTCTTACAAAATCTTAATAGTGCTTAATTTAGTACAGCGTATTTATTTTCTCTTACTATTTACTCCCTAAATAGAAATATAACCACAAATTTAACAATAAATTCTCGATTAATCTCAACAACAACAAAAATCAGCAAATACATATAGCACAATTATCTTTTTTATTCCTTCAAGTTCCCCAGTGGAACAAAGGGCTTCAAGCTAGAGGAGTGAAGTTTCTGTAGTAGTGTTTATTTTACAGGACGGGGTTGCTAGCCTCACGCCCAACCTTTTCTCTTTAAAAGCATTATTTCCGGCTTAGCGAGGTAAATGAGTGTGGTAAAGGAGTGCGTCGGTGGCCGGGATCGAACCCTGGACCATGTGCATGGTTGGCGAGCGCCCTAACCGCTACGCCACCGACGCTCAGTAATAATTGCGTTTAATTCAAGGAAACATTAATTGGCAATTCTAAAGCTAACAATAACCTTTCAAAATGTCTACTTATTCACTCTTTTCTTCTAGACAAAACTGGGCCCACAGTTCCC